GGATACGTTACTTGAACTTGCCCCCGATCGAAAAGCGCACCTAGCTCGGGACGGGGGAAGGAGACAGGAATGTGGAGCCCATATCCACCCTTTAGACTACCCCACTTGCGGCGCAGGCGGTTTCGACTGTTTACCCGGTTGGGACAGGAGCTCTCTCTCTGCTTTCTGCTTTTCGCCTGCCAGCGTTCACTTTGGAATTCCGACCGGATCTACTTACTCGTAGGTAGGGCTGCGCTGGGCCTGGGGGGCTACACGCCTTTCGGTAAGTTATGCCATGGGCTGACAATCTCAACGTCGGCGTCAGTGTGATGAGGTGTTATCTATACATAGTCTTAATCCGGAGATCCTATCCTGCCTATCATAGTCAATTGCGCGCAACAGATGTGTTGAGTAGATTGGAAGACTACTGAGCGGAAGAGAAGAGCAAAAGGACATCACCAAAGCAATGAACAAGACAGACCAATCTCACATCTCGAACATTAGTGGACAGTCCTAAGTACTGTACTGTACATAGCACTAGAGGTGGTACCTTCCTCTCTTTAGTAATTCTAGCATGCGTGCCGCAAGTGCTACAAGTCAGTTAACTTAACTTATCTACCGTAATCCTAGATTGGAATTGTAGAGCGAAGGAATGTAACGGGTGGGGACCACTATGATCCTACGATGATACTATCACCCAAGCACGCCCGCCGTGCCGCCATGTCGGCCGGACTGGCGGTAGGTAGTCTTTTTCCTTTGCGGTCCTTTCGGATAGCCTTAAGCTTTGCCGCCAATGTAGCGCTTCAAGTCTTAGGCTAACTATACCTACACCTTTCTCCTCTGGCGCTATATTCTAGTCTACCGGTAGTCTACCAGACAAAATAAAATAACGGGGCCGTCGTCAGTCGGGTCATTCCGAAAGACCCGAGAGTCGAGACCATTTTTTGCCCTGCACTGCTTGGGCTTGGAGGGAGCTCCATACCGAGGATTCAGCTTGAGTGGGAAGAAAAAAGTAAGTTTTACGAGGCATTCCTCTCCGTTTTTTTCTTTTTTTTCTTTTTGCGTTTTGCTTTTTGCTTTTGAGTGATAGCGGTAGTAATCCGAGCTCCCGAATATGACGGCTGAGGTCACCACTGGGCCCCCGTCCATTCGTACCATTTTTGGATGACCAGCAGATCAATATTGCAGGAGCTCGCTTTCTGAGCTGATGAAGGTACTTCGTATGTTAATACTAGCTAGCTACCTTAGTAAGGGGGGTTTTCTCTTCAAATCTGGGGAGAGCAGGAGCAGCAGAAAGCTTCCATCGTACGAGCATCGAATCCCGAACTCAAAATCACCAAGCTACACATACTAGCTCTGACTTTCTTTCTCACTAGCAGCACGGAATCATGCTCGCCCCCTTCCTTCCCATTGTTTTCCAGGTGCGCAAAAATTCTATAACACGATAACAATCACCTTGTACGCCTTAAGAGTTTCAGAGTGTATAGTATAAGTTACCGGTAGATCTGTAGGTGTAGGCATGCACATAAAATTGACTCTATGCAGGGCTGTACCTCATCAATAAATTATCCCTCACTGCTATCTACCCTCCCCCTGGCTCCAACATTCTCCTTTCCCTACCATCATGTACTATATACTGCTACTCATACTTCAGGCTCAACATACGAGACTCCTTCCTAAACCGACCAAGCCGCCAAAAAAAAAAAGAGAAAAAAAAGCAAAAAAAGCAAAATGCAACCACAGAAACCAAACAGCTGGAGCCTTAGCCGAAAAGAGTCTATACCTGTTTGATGCCCAGGCCGGATTTTGCCGCCAATCAAATGCTCGTCGGCTGTATTAGGCAGTACATTTCCGAGAGATCGATGCATGAAGTCATATCCCCCACCTCCCCCCCCCCCCGCCCCCTTCATCAACCACCACATACTTAATTTTGGGTGCTCTGCGAAGTACGGAGTTTGGATTACATTTGGAGATTCGTTGTGCTGGTATCTCCTGCATGAGGAGGAGGGGAGGAAGATACTGTGCATATGGTCTATGTATCAATTTACCCAGTAGCTAAAAAAGGTTGGGGGGGGGGCTCTAACTACAGTATTTCGTATGCAAGTGGACTCATTTTTTCGAAGGGTGCAGTACATATAAGATCACGCTTTTGATGCTGTATTTGCAGATTTTACTGTGGATTGCACTTATGCACTGTACTGCACTATCATCTACTTAGAGGAGACGTAGCTAATACTGTCCTGTATATCTACAGTACATAGAATATAATCTCGGCCTTGGTCGAATATGCCTGAGTGTATAAAGTCCTAGCTTATCTCTCTCCCGCCCCACACCAAGATTAGAAAATAGTGCGTGGGAGGACGTTAACTACTGTCAGGCATGCACGGTATGTGCCTAAGCGCAGGGCATACGACACAGCATGATCTTTTCCCTCCCCCCCTCCCTTACCGATTGGCAATGATGAATGAGATTGTTCTGCGTAGAGTCTGTCGGATGGCTTTGCCGAAAGGACCCTTCCTTCCTTCCGTCTGAGGTATCCATCAACTGATTTAGTAGCTCCCTCCGTTTTTCTCACCTTCTCCTTCTCTACTGCATTATGCTAACGATATAGTTACAGTACTACTATCTACCTAGGTGCATCATACCCATCTCCTACCGATCATGCCTCAGACCCCATTCATCTTCTCCAGCGTATGCACATACACATCCCGCTCTAGAGAAGAGAGCAACCGCTGCAAAACAAGAGCAGAGTAAGTGGGTCACAGCAATTTGGAGAGAGACAGAGAGGGGAGAGAGAGAGAGAGCAAGAAAAAGGCAACTATTCTATTGTCTGTTTCCTGCAGGAGTTCTGCAGCAATTTTCTCCAGCATCCTACATAATGAGTTTGTCCGTTGTTTGTTTCTTTTTCTCCTCTTCACCCCCCTCTCATCCCCTCCCATCCCCTCTCTCATTTGCTGGCCCTTGTTTGCCAATTTGCAGCATGAGATTCTGGACCCTCAACAAGCAGGGAAACATCCAATCAACGAAAGCCATAGAGAGATGGAGCTAGCAGAGGACTAACTTGTTTGCTTTCGGAGTTTCTAGGTGGGCAAAGTCAACAGTACTATTGTTCATTCTGCACAACCATCACAAGCAGATGATTCGCCTACCTTACGTCTACCTTATTCGTTCGCCCCCCCACCCCCTCCACTTCGATTATTGTCATCGGAAAGCAGCAGCTCAATTGCTGACCAGCCAGATTGTCAAGATGATATGGTTACGATGGATGGATGGGACAACAGACACGCGACCGGATACCGGATGGATGAATATCCTGGCAGATCAGGATCAGACGGGGAACAGGGCTTGGATGAATGGGACCCGGCCAGATAGACAGCTGGAGGGGCGAACAAGACTGTCCTAGGCAAGGCAAGCGCAAGCAAGGCAAGGGGACGTGCCATCGTGCTTGTTGTCGCCGTTCTTCCATCTATCCTCCCGCTCTGCTCTCCCTTATCCTGCCAGTCGGCAGTGCTTTCCACCCACCCTCCCCACCGTTACATCACTGTCGTCCTTTCCCCGTCTCGGGGGGGCTAATCTAGCTGCCCCCACCTGCAGCTGCGAACGTGCAGAATGTTAGGCCTGCCTCCTGCAGGACCCGACATTATTAGTGCAGAATATTTGACAGGTGACTATTCGAAAAAGTGCTGGCGCCTAACAGGGGTGATTCACCGTGCTAAATAGTCTGCCTATAGCTGGGTAACTATCGCGAAGAAGAAGAATCAAATAGTAAACTGCAGATTGTGGATGTCGCTTCGCTTCATCCTTAGCTGCTTGTTGCTTCTGCTGCTGGTCCATTCGCTATGCAGCGGTCTTGACAGGTCTCATTCTATGGGGAGATGAGATGTTCTGGACTTCTGTACTTGTGCATGGCCACTCGTGTCGAGGCGGAGGAAAAAAGGTATATGCAGAATTGGTGTGCTATTGCTCCGTTCTTGGTTAATTGTCTAGACTATTCGCAAGGCGAGCAAGCTGTCAGCAGGGAACGAAGAAAAGCCACTACCGAATGTACTGACATGAACCAGGCTAGACCAGTTTGTCTGCCATGTACCAAGAGCGCATATATTGTAGATGCGATATACAGCTCGGGGAGAACACAAAATGCCGGCGGAAAGTTACCCCCTTCTCGATTGTCAGATGGGTTGTAAGTCTATGGTCCGATCTGAGAAAAGCTTCAGCGGGACCGATCCTATCAAGCTTCAGGCCTAATCGAGCGGGAGAAGCCGTGACTCCGATCTCCTATGATCGACCATCAAGGTTCCATCGAATGAGCTTTTTTCCTTTTTTGGAGAAGGGTCTAATCCAGCAGAAATACTCTTGATTGAAATGTAGGTAGGTCCTGTGTGAACTGAGCTAGCTAGCGAATTTCAAGCGTGGCGTGTGATGATTCCGAAAAGAAAAATCAGTATATGCTCCCCGGTCCCCCTTTCCTTATCTATGGGTTGTATTTGGTTATTCCGTATGCCTGCAACGCCCTGACCTCTCTCTAAACCAGAAGAAGATATTCGGAACAAAAAGGGGAAAAAAAAAGAGAAAAGTACAAACTGTATCCGATACCCCAGCGCAAGCAATTCCAGTCGGAAGCAAAATGAGATAATGGAAAAAGTTGTGTGTTAAGACAAGGTACGCCAGAGCACAGGATTCTGACGAATGAGAGGATTGCGGAGACATTTAGATAGATAGTAGGTAGTATGAAACGGACACGTCTGAATGCATTCACAGGGTTTTGGAAGCGGACCAGCAGGCAAACAAGAAAGACGAGTCCAACAGGTCAGCTACCTCCGCCCCCCGCCCCCCCGGTGCTTCAAACGACAGAAACCCCCTGCCGGATAAATGGAACATGCCAGGTCTGTTCAAGCGGTCAAGGGAGTCCTATAGTAGTCATAATCAAAGATCCGCGGTAAGGCCAATCGCTTTTGTCCAACCAATGCAAGCACGTAATCAGGCGACGGGATGTAACAAAAAACAATTCCTATTATTGCGCTTCAGTTCGGACCCGACTGAGTAGAGGTGGTGCCAGGCTTGGGCGCGACCGCAGGTGGTCCCAGCGGCGGGATGCGGTTGAGGGAAGGCGACGACATGAGCGACTGCTGGCCGTTCAGTTGCGCCTGTTGTCGCAGGGCATTCTCCCTCTGCCGGCGCTCCTCTTGCTCCGGGGTCATGCACTTGATCGGCGGCGGGATCGGTGCGTCGGGCGAGCTTCTGCCCATCAGCTTGGGGCTGGGCTCGAGTTTCTGAATCGGCGGAAGAACGGGAGCGCCGGCGATGCTGCCCGAGGTCATGGGCCGCGGCGATTGCTTGGTCGGGCTAATCCCTGAGAAGGGCACGCCGTGCGAGCTCTGCGGCGGCGACGACCGACTGCCACCACCACCAGCAGTAGGGGTGGCGATGAAAGACGGTCGGCCATTGCTGAGTGGGGGCAGCTGGACATTGCCTTTGCCCGTGTTGGGGCGTGGAGTCTGATGCTGGCCGTGCGGTGTCCAGGGAGCCATCTGGTCCGATGATGCCACGGGCGGAAAGCCTGCCAGCGGACCAACATCGCGATTGCCTTGGGTCGGCGACATAGAGGGACGGTTCTGGATGGGAGACGGAAGGGTTGGGCTGAGTGCGGAATGAGATGACGATGGGCGCCGTCCAAAGAGGCCACCGCTATTGAAAGCTTCGCGACCGTTAAGCGGCAGGTGCATTGAAGGAAGTTTGGGGGGCAGTTCCTTGGATGCTGGGGTAAAGCCATTCATGCCTTTTGACGGGGAGAATGGAGCCCGAAGGGGACTCAACGGCGCTGCATGCGCAGACGAGGGTCGGCGCTCAGGAGATGCTGGAGGCAAAGAGGGAGGTTGGTCCGAAGTCCGAGAGATCATGTGTGGTAGGGATGGTAGTTGTTTTGAGGGAGACTCAATTGAAGGCATGGCGCCAGTAGGCGGAGCTTGTTTCGTGGCTGGAAGGGGGGATGTTTCCGCGTCCCTGATCTTCTGCTCGCCGTCGGCAGTGCCTGAGGGTGAAGTTGAGGAACCGAGTCGGAATTTCAACGGCGGAATTTTGGGCTTCTTCGCCTCCTCATCGCGCCTCTTGCAGTCATCACAGACAAAATGGAAATCTTCGCGCTCAGCCTCGTGTTTTGGGATACCGAGGCATTTGCTGTGTTGCCACACATTGCACTTTTCGCATGCGACGCTATGAGAGCCATCGTCCTACCTTATATTAGCAGACGCGTCTTATCATCGGCGCTTAAAACTTACCAGGTTCTGACCGTGAACACCGCAGCCCGAGCAATCAAATGTCCACTGATCTTCTTGGGAAAGATCTTCGAGATTCTTCCGATATCTTTCCATCTCAGCCCTGAGATGTCTCTCGGATGCTCTGCTCTCGCCTCGCTCGACCTTCTTGTGCTCTTCCTCAATGCGCTGCAATTCGTTTTCGTGCAGAATGCGCTTGCGCTCGCGATCCTTGGTGCGCTGCTCACGAGTGATGATGCGCGAGCGTCTCTCAGTCTCAAGCTTCTTCAATCTTTCTTCCTCCTTGAGAGCCGCGGCTAGCTCAGTTTCCCGCTTACGCGATGCTTCAAAAGCTTCGCGCTCTTGCCTCTCTTTCTCCGCCTTTCCGGCCAGTCGACTGGACCGCTTGGCGCCTGCAAGCAGCTGCATGTTCGCAAGCTCCTTCTCACGCTTGACCTTTTGTCGCTGATGGGACTCCTCTTCCTTTTCGATAATGGGAAGGACCTGCTCCACAATCCGATCACGAAGAATCTTCTCATCGGGGTCTCTAGTCTTTTGGATCGTCTCCAGGAATTGCTGGTAGTCGGAGAGCGTGATAGCAATGCATTCCCACTGCATATCTGCGAAGGGATCCTTGAAGGCTTCCCCATCCGCAGCACTGTCATTCTCTTCGGACTCTTCCACGGGGTCAGCCCCAGTCACCTTTCTCCGTTTGGATGCTCTGACCGCCCGGGCGCTCTTTCGCCTTGACTTGCTCTTGACCGGCTTGGGTGCTGGGATCGGGGGATCGGTCCGACGATAGAGTCTGTTGTCGTCCAGAATGTAATAGTATCTTCCATCGCGATCATAGCCTATTTCTTCAATGCGCTAGGAACGGAACCCGAAAAGGTGAGCGACTTGAGCATCACGAAATCTTCCCGCAGGGAGGCACCTACCCATTGTGTCTGATCCAACTCGCGCTGTTCCGGCATCTTGTCACGGATGCGGTCAGGGTTCCAGAAAGTCCAAATGGACAGTTGGTGGAGAACGCGAAGCTTTAAGAACACATCGAACTCCAAGAACTTATTGGGTACCTCGTTATAGCCGAAGGGGTTCGTGATATGGGGGGCCTTCGCGTTGTACTGGCGTCGCGTATACTCATCGAAATTGTCGAACCTAAAAGCAAGAAGGGCATTGCGTCAGCAGTAACACACAGGTAAATTGAGTCCGTGACGGGGACGTACGTGAGGCCACGATGCGACGACACCCATTTGAGCAGACAAAGTCCGATCTCCAGGAGTTTTTCTGACGACTCCGGCTTCATACACTCATTTTCCAGGTCCTAAGAGCAAACGCGAAGCGCAAAATGTCAGTTGCTTGCGAAGAAAGCGCGACCGGAGGGAAGGAGGATAGCAACGAGAGCAGGCCGGGCAAAAAAAAAAATAAATGAAGGGAGCCTCAGCCGCACGGATGATGCACCCATACCTCAATTCCAAAATCCTCATCAATCTTCATAGGTTTCCCAAATATGTGGATGTACTGCATGAGATTTGCAAATTCCCAGCAGTTCCGCAGCTTCTGAAGGAGGCCCTGTTCCTCAGGTAGCTGCTCCGGAGCAGCGTCCACCTCGGAGCGGGCGCGCTTTCGCGATACCATGGCGGCGGATCAAGACCATCAAAAGGCGCCGCAGCGCAAGACAAGGTTCCGACGGGAGCGGCGAATCCGCTTCTGCAGTGAGAGGGGAGATTTTGTGATCGGATTGGAACGTAAGTAATGATATGATATGATACGTGGGAGATCACGAGAGTAAATTGCACAGAAGGTGCTCAATGTAACAAGCGGAGGGAGGGCAAGGGCGTGATCTACGGGATGGATGGTAGTAGTACTGAGTAGACACAGGAAATCGTTCGCCAGGGCGGGTGGGCGGGCGTGTGTTCGTTCGGGGCTGGGCAGAAGAGATGAATGAGCTCACTGTTCTCCGTACCGTCTCACTCACTCACCACTTTAGGTACTGCTTGAACCCGGCGCCGGCGCGTCGAGGCCCCCAGTCAGGTGATGTGGTTCCCGTCGATGGGTTTGGTTCGTTTGATAGTGGCGCATCGATAAGCCCTTCATTCCAATATAGGTTCACCCCTCTGCTGTTCAAGGCTGCACTTCTTTCTGTAAATAGTGGATTCTGATATTAACTAAGAATATAGAGGCAGTATGCATGCAATGATAAAGAAAAAAGAAAAAGAAGAAGAGGAAGAAGAAAGAGATTTTCACACAGTAGACAGAAGCAGAACCAGCTTAACCATAACACAACAGAAAGTAAAGAAGGAGGAAAATGAAAACAACAACAACAACAACTAAATCTTGGTATCTCGCTCAAAGAGGGTCTATCTCACTCAGATGGAGGATGTGGAAAGGGGATCATAGAGGACAAGCAAAATGCACAAAGACAAATAGCGCCATCCGTATCCACGCCACCGCACAGCCAAACCATTGTGACCGAAATGGAAAAGAAGTGTTCAACACTGGGGGCAATGGAAAAGAAAAACAGGAGGGAAAATGAAGTTATGACAGAATCACAGCAGGCCCAGAACAGAAAAGCCCAGGCAATGCGAATAGAAAACAGCAAACCCTTTAATAATAATGGACGAAGCAACCCCAAGCGCAAGCGGTGGTCCCCTACCTAGTTTTCTTCTTTTTCCTTCCCCTCTTAATCGCCTTCATCTCCATCCTCTTCCGGTGGTTATTTTGTATCTCAATCTTATATTTTCATCTCGTCAATGCATTGCCATACCACGTAGTTTGCGCCTTGTAATCCATGTTTCGCCTAGAGCCGGTCCCATGCATGTCGTAAGGTTGTCAAATATACCAAGTAATAAATCAAAAGAGAAAAAGATGCTTTTGAGACTTTTTACATGGCAACACCCGGTGCGCCGTCGGAGACATTATCTGAGAGGTTGATGAGAAGCTGCGCCAGGCAACGCTTGGTGGCAGCGTCATCGCGGAGGACGGAGGAGAAGGTCGCATCTCGCAACGGTTCGGGAAGACACTGTCGCAGAGCTTCCCGCGCTCTGCTGTTGTCGCTCAAACTGTTCAACCGTCAGCACGTGTGATCCATGCGGGGCGGGGTATGACGGAGAAGTAGGCTTACCGAAGGAAACAGCGTACGACATGTTTGAGAAGTCGAACAGTCTGTTGCTCCACAAGTTGAGTAACCATATTACTTAGGACAGTCCCCACGGCGTAGAATCTCTCGTAGGTCGCGCAGATGTACGCCAGTCCGATATCATCGAGGAGAATTTTTTGCACGATGAAAATTGCGACCGTCTTGCTCAGCTCGGAGCCTGTCTCCATGATGCGAAGGCAGAGGGGGATGATTTCGGTGGTGAGAAGGAAGTTGATAACATCAGACGAGTCATTCTTGACCAAGGCTCCGATCACTCCGAGCGAGGTGAGACGAAGGTACTCGAAAGGGCGCGACTTGGACGTCGTGTTGAGAAATGGGTATAGAAAAAGGGGAATGTGCGCTATGCGAGCGAGAGCGATCATATGTCAGAAGTGCCTTATGGCTATGTGATTTTCAAAGGGCCACGTACCGTTCAGAAATAGAGTGCGGGTCTCGTTGTGGGAAGCCACACACTGAAGCAAAGCCAGCGCATTGCAAACTCGATTCGAGGCGGCGGCAGTGAGCTGAGAAGGGTTCAACAGCGGATATACAGAGATGATTTCTTGAAGAAGTGCAGTCATGACTCCTAGACGTCCGGATCATGTTAGTTGCCACCCAAATTGGTGAAGCCGACCAGCATCGAGACCATACCGAAAGAATGCCAAATCACCAGCGCGAGCTCCGGAACCTGCTCTCTCTTCTTGCTGAGCTCCATGAGAGCCGCCTCTCTGCGACTCGGATCCAGGAGTTCTGCGACCCAGATGAAGACCTTGCGGTTCTCATCGCTGATCCCACCATCCATCACCGACACGGCACCCGACAAAGCACCATCCCCACCTAACCCTCCAGCACCAGCTCCCTGGGAAGAGTTACCAGCACCGGCATTTCCTGCCATAGCGATACGGGTGTAATGTTGTTGTTGAGCGGCGGCGGCGGCGGCAGCGGCCGCCTGAACTTGGGCATGCTGTTGGGCGACCAAAGAATGCTGCTGTTGCTGAGCCTGGTGCGGGTGGGCTTGGTGGTGTTGCTGCTGCTGATGTTGCAGCCACGAGGGATCAGCCTGCGGGTACTGATGCTGATGAGAAAAAACGTGCTGGGTCTGCGTTTGAAGCATGACGGGGTTGGCGAAGACTCGGAGCACGACGGGGACTCGTAATCCTCAGGAGGGAGGAGGGAAGACCTTGGAACAGCCCTGGGCGGATAAAAACCGAACTAAGACAGGGAATATCGAGGGGAGGGTTCAGAGTGTGTTAAGAAGCCAAGCTCGAGATTGTACTCATGGATATAGGCTATGTACACTGGACGTGTGTATGTAATCGTGGGTGGGGGGGTGTGGTGTTTGAGGGGCGAAGTTGATCTGAATGTCGGGGTGGTGAGGAGGACGGAGCGTGGAATTAATGAATGAATGAATTGGAATGGACTTCCAGTTGGGACTTGAACTTGAGACTACGGGAGGCGGGGAGGCACTGGTTCCGCCCGGGCAGTTTGTGCCGTGCTTACTACTACTACTAGTTACTACGGAGTACTAACTAAGGAGGAGTAACTTAGTCACTTCGTAACTTAGTAGTAGGAGGAGGAAGCCCTCCGTGGGAGTTTCGCCTGGACTCTTTTCTTGGAACAACTCCCCGAGTCCCAGATCTGAGACGTGTCAATGATCGCCCTCCTTCAGACAATGTGATACATACTTTGCTTTTTTCTTTCTTTCTTTTTTTCTCAGACCAGAGACCGGAGTACTTGAGTCAAACCCCATGTCATTTTCCTCCCAGCCCCGTCTTCGGACCGTTGATAGGCGCCTTGCAGGTTACACCGTGAGAAATGCGCACGAGTTGATCTGGCAGGTGCATGATTATCTTTGTCGCCAACTCGGAATTCAGGCAACAGATACGATCGGAAGCAAGTACATTCATACTCTTAGACTCGATGCAGCCTATGCATGTGGCCACCTTATTTGCCGGCCTCAGAGGGAATAGTACTACTGTTCACCGGTACATGCCGGCAAAATTCAAGATACCAAGAACAGCATCTTTCCGATCTACTGTTTGCTCATATTTTTTCCACCGTCTTCAAAGCGAACTTTGATCAGAGTCTGTCATGATTTTCATATATCTCATATTTACATCTGCCTTCCCAGGTCTGGCATCAATTGGGAAAATAAACATGGCGATCATCCGAAACATTAGCACATCGCAGGGGTTCGCATAATAACATGACAACATAAGGCATCATCATACATGGAAAGTCCTTCAGTGAGGAAACCGAAGAAAACGTCATAATACACACGCCGGGAACCTGATAGAGCGCCGATTCATGCAAGCAGCTTGTGAGAATAAGCAAGAAAGAGAAAAGAAAGGGGTCCATTGTGACCAGTAAATCGTTACCAAAGTTCGTCGAGTTCGTTCCGTCAATTCATCATCTTCGTGAGCGCGTACGAGATCGTCTGGAGCGTCTTGTCTCTCGCGTGCGCCGGTCTTCAGTGATCTCGCTGCCTAAAAAGTACTGAGTTAGCATTCCAAATGACATCGTTCCCGCAAGAATGCGCAGCGCTTACCATCGTTGGTGTAATAATCGGAGTAGTAGTAATAACTACTTGGGTATGTGGAATCCGTCTTCTCATCGTCGTCGCGGTGGTCTCTGCTTCTCTTCAATCCCAGACACAGTGCAAGCGCGCCCAATATAATTCCAACGGTAGCCAGCCCATTCCAGGAAGACTTCTTCTTCTCGCCCGCAGTCGATGCTGCAGCTGCAGGCCGGCTTCCGAACCAGGTCCGTCCTTCAGGCCGAGCGGCCCCATGCGCATGCGAATGACGATGGTAACGCTCTTCGACGTAGGTCGTCTCCTTTCTCCTTCTACGACCGCAGCCCAGACAAGCGAAGAGAGAGTCCAGAATACCACGGCAGCACAGGCAAGCGCATAGTAGCAGCAACAGAATGACGCCGGCAATTGTTCCGATGACGATGCCTGCAATTGCACCGCCACTCAATCCACCACTTGAAGCTTTCATTCCGATCACCGTTGAGCCAGCCGTGTTAACAGGAGCAATAAAGCCCTGAGTGGTTGTTATCGAGGCTGTGTGTGTGGCTGTCGATAGAGTTGTGCCTCGGACGGCCGGTGTGGCGGTCCCCGTGGCCCAAATGGATGTACTTCCCAAGATGCACTGATTGCTGTAGCAGACGTACGCAGGGCCGCAGCAGTCACTACCGCAGATAGTCTCCCCGACGCTGGCATCGCAGCTGGAGCCGGACGAAGTTGCCGAGATGTAGCTGCTCCACGTGGAAGTGAACGTAGCAGTCTCCGTCTCGGTCCGGACATAGGTTGTGGTATAGTACTCCCAGCTGCCGCTGCCGCCAGCACTTACGCACTCGGCTTGGCCATTGCTGTTGGTACTACATGACTCGCTAGAGCTGCAGCAGAGCTGGCTATAGTAGCCGCAGGGATTTGCGCAGCGCTTCTCTAGGACCGTGCCATTGGCATAATCAGGCTCTTCGGACTCCAAGATCGTCGCAATTGCGGTTGGGTTTGTAGTCGCAGTCGCCGTCGCCGTCGCAGGCGCAGTGGCCGGTGAGATCGCCGTCACGGGCTGAAGGTCTAGTAACGGGAGTATAGAAATGGCCGACTGCAGTATGCGGGACATATGCATGGCGAAGAGAGAACGTCTGATTAGCGATGACAGCCACGAGGGGGCGTATACTGGGGCTCTGGAATGTTTTCTGGATTCCGATCGCTCTGAGCGATGTCCAGGATTCAGGCTTATCACAACACCCGTGTCAACGGCCCCGTAGTATGGGAGCCGAGCTTCATGCAACTGACAAAAGCATACAGTAAACAAAGCCAAGCAATGGACTGGAATGCAAGACTGTCAATGGTGTGGATATCGATAAACGAGAGAATGTCTCCGCGAAATCAAGAATGAGCAAAGAGATAGAGAGATAAAGAAGGCGGCGGGGAGGGGAGAGAGAGAGAGTAAACTGAACCAGACCGAGGAAGAGCTGTTCATGCAGTCGAGTTTCCGACGTCTTCCTTCCTGTCTTTTGATCCCAGCCTCCGTGCCGTCGTCTCCCCAACCACCGCATTTTATGCGACAAGCAACCACCAATCACTGCCAACCCGCAATGAAGGAGCGAAGGAGTCATGATTGTCAGTCAACTTCCGCTGCATAGATTAAAAATGGAAATTCGGGAGGCTGGGAGAACCCACTCAGTGCACACTTTGTTGCCCCTCCGGCGTGCACTGGTCAATTGTTCCCACTGCCCCTCCCGTCTAGTCTACTTTTTCACCCACTGCTTGCTTTCTTCCCCTCTTTGCTTGAGGAGGTTCCTGACAGCGTCATCATCCTCTTGCACCAGTCACCCTCATGCTGGGCAAAAAATATACGCAAACTAAGGAATTTAGCCTGCAAAACAATGTTTGGGCTCCACCACTCTAGAGGATTTTTCCGTGACGAGACTGATAGTCGGTCTGGCCATGGTCTTCCCTGATTTGATGCCCGGGTGGACGTTCTGTCAGGTACTGACTGCATGTCTTCAACCACACCGTCACAAATCAGGTATTCAGGCATGGATACTTACCACCGCACCACCACCGCACCACCACCTCTTACGTGTCGTCCGAGGCCAATGCAATTCCTTACTTGGGCAGTGATTTTGGCGTATGAGTGATGCAGTAAGCTACCCTGGATCTGACCTATGATCTGACCTACAGTCTATACACGGACCCAGTTTGTACCTATGTTCCGCTCATCACCGGTCTAGAAAGCCCTATTTATAACAATGCGTTGGTGAAGCGGTGTGTGTGTGGCACCCACCCCGTATTGCGCACATCAGACCAGTATGGATCTCGTTGTCGTGTTGCCCACTTTAGACCCAGAGCCGGTTCGAACTAGAATCGTGCCCGGGCTATGCTTCTCTTGAAAGATAAAGCACTTCATCTTGTGTGTGCATTGATGCTATCTCATTGTCATTTCTTATATACAAGATTCTCCGCGAATACATCACAGTCATGTTAGCCTAAAAACTTCCAAACATAGCACATCGTCGTCAAATCATTTCATAAGCCAGATCCCACCGAAGATCCAGGGCCATATATAAGCGTCAAAAGCTCCGAAGACTGCCAAGAGTTTCGAAACCGGTCATCAATTGTCATCCCATTCGCATCCCAACCAATTCAGTCATGAAAATTGCCAGCAAGCATATATATCCATATTCCGTACGTATCGACATGAAGCCCGACTCCTCGTAGAGCAACCTCACATGAACATTCCAGCCACTCCGATGAACATGCCGAAGAGAAGGTCCTCAAGGCTGGAAGTGCGTTTGGGTCCTGTCGCTCGGTTCTCGTAAACGCCGGTGGTGTATGCCGCGCAGTATCCAATGTTCAGGCCATGGCAAGCCTCCAGACTGAGACTAGAGCATGTCGACATAGCTGCTGAGACGCCTGCCCGAGTCGTCCCCGAACCGCCGTCTACGGCAACCGTCACTGCATACCCCCCGCCGAGCTGTGACAGACAGCCGGTATACTCGCTCTGGCATAAGGAATAGTAGGATGTGCAGACCTGGGCATTGGAGAACGAGGTCGGGATGACGACGAATGGGTAGGCGGCTGCGAGAGTTGAGCCCGTGAGGGTGACACTGGTCGGCCCGGCGGTGGTTTGCGTAGCGCTGGCTGTCTGAGGGAATCGGAAGCTGCTGGTAGAATCTCCGACCACGACTACTCCGGTCCCCGTCGCAGATAGCGTCCCCGTGCAACTAGCTCCGGTCGGGCAGCAGGCGATATTGTTGGCATCGTCACGAGTACAGATGGTATTGTCCTTGCAGCAGATATCGGAGTGACCCAGCTTGGAACAACCGTCATAACCAGATGGACAGTTGCCGTCCCGCTTTCTTAGAATCTGTAGCACCTCGAATGCGCTGCGTCGAGACTCGGCAACTTGAGGCTGCGAGAATGGCAGTGTCTCGATTGAGGGTGCCGCTGTCTCTAATGATAAAGCCGTCGAGGCGAGGAATGCGACCGAGATCCACCCGAAAAGCTTCATTCTTGAGGGCTAGGGCTATTGTGCGCCCGCCAAATTGTGTCAGAAATGGGTATGTAGCGTGGAGTGATGACTGTGAGTCGATGCTCACAATGGCTGCCGTTTCTGTCGAGTTGCGATCAGTGTAGGTACCTTCGACTTTGATCCGATGCGATAGTTGCAGAGCAATCAACAAACTTCTCGAAGCGGCCGAGGCAATCTATAGATAAGGGAGAGATTAGCTATCGCAGCGATGGGGTTAATAGAAAATTATGAACTCAACCAGACTTGCAAAAGAAGACTCACAGGGTGACTGACTGAAAGTAAAACCTCCCTTCCAGCCTATGAATTGGAGCAATCAAGTCTGCAGCGGATCAGGGTGGGTGATGGGAAGCTGGCGCTGCATCTTCCGGCCGTTCAGGCAGCGCCGTCTCCACTAGAGACTAGAGTTCCCCTGCCACAGCAACGGACCGGCGCCCGCGGTGGTTTCTAACCCGGGCCTCCTGCCGCCCATGCTGGAATAATAATGGAGCCCGCTTGTTTCCTATTTTTGGCCAAGTGAATCATCCTACGGAGTACGGGACGGTATGGTCAAGAAACGCCCCGGGTGTCCGCCGGTGGCCCCTTCGCTCCCTTGGCTATCCTTGATGTGGTCCTGTGGATAAAAGTCTGCTCCATAAACAACGATCAATTGATAGGCAGGGTCCTGGTGATGTCATTCCTATGATCCTAACCTACTATGACTACCTACCGAGCATACTCCGTCCCATACCTACCTACCTCCAACTCCTCCCACATCCTAAACCACACGAAGCGATACACAGAAATCGGTTGCTGTACGCTGCCTGCTGACTTCAACCACACCAGACTTATTTGCTCGCTTGTATTACCAATCTAGCGTGTCAATTCAAGAGTTGTGATCGTACAGGTCGAGGAACATGGTCATGCATGTGATTGGAGGAAGGCTTGCTGATTCATATGTGAGATGAACACGACGCAGCCTACCTTCCTTCCAGGAGCGCTCCATTCACCTGCGCACCGTACTCCCTGTCACTCATGCTCAAACTGGTACATTGTTAAAGATACCCACACTGCTAACGAGCAGAAATAAAAAAAACCCCTCTAGCTTGGACCAGCATGTCAACCAGCGAACCTACTCCCATGACAATCCCCATCGTGGATTTCAAAGCATGGTTCAACACTGAGGATGAAGCCGCCCGCCGACGGGTTGCACAAGAGCTTGTGGAAGCATGTCAGCGAGTCGGCTTCGTTTACATCATCAATCACTCTCTGTCCGAGCATCTTCTTGACTCGACGTTTGACTGGATGAGACGCTTGTTCGAGCTGCCGAGGGACATTAAAATGCAAGCACCTCATCCTGAGGGGTGGGCAGTGCATCGAGGGTACTCCTGGCCGGGCTTGGAGAAAGTTTCTCAAACCATCAGCACTGGGGAAGATGAAGAGACACGGCAGAAGCTGAGAGAAGTGCCAGATGTCAAGGTGTGTCTGATGGTTCACCGTATCGACCCTGCATAGCCGCTTGAAGCATTCCTAGGATGTTATGTCTTAATGACGTTGGACTTTTGTAGGAGATCTATGATATCGGAAGTGAAGAAAACACTGCACAGCCAAACCAGTGGATACCCGACGAGGCACTGGCGGGCTTTCGCAGCTTCATGAATCAGTTTTACTGGGATTGTAACGGGGTGGGCATCGAGATTCTCCGCGCTCTTGCCCTTGGCTTGAACCTGGACGACGAGAATCACTTGGCCAAAAAGCACTCAGGCCATAACAATCAGTTGCGACTTCTACACTATCTACCAGTCCCAGCGAATGATCTTGAAAAAGATCTGATAGCTCGGTGTCCTGCACACACCGACTGGAGCTCAATCACAATGCTTTTCCAGGATGATTGCGGTGGCTTAGAGGTGGAAGACATCTCTCGGCCGGGCAACTTTCTCCCTGCTGCTCCTGTCAAGAATGCAATCGTCATGAATGTTGGAGATCTCTTGCAGCGATGGAGTAATGGTTGGTATCTTTCTCTTGAAGTGTTGACTATGCTGACTGGTACAGACCGTCTTCGGTCTACTAATCACCGGGTCAGACTCCCGCAGTTGTCTGATCGTTTTGAGGGCAGTAATCGTATGACGCGCGAACGCTTTTCCATTCCGTACTTCATGGCTCCAGACCCTGATTCGGTCATCGAGTGCATTCCCTCGTGCATGAGTGAGGATGAGCCGGCCAAGTATGAGCCGATCACTCAAGCGGGCTACAATCAGATGCGGGCATCGATGATGTATTAGGTTCGATTCAATTTGAAACAACATTGAGCTCAAATCATCCAACATGGTTCATTTTCGAGAAGTAGAAGATAACGAACTAAGTACTCCAAGCTACTAGCCCTGAACCCTACCTCAGGTCCTTAAAAGAGTAATCGGCCTTCACCGCCTTCACCCATGACCAATCAGAAGCGGGAGACGTCCCCGCCGACAGCAACAGCTTAAGTTTGGAGGCCTGTAATCAATCATTTACGGAGTACTATCACGAGCGACACTCCTAATACCGACGTCCGACTTTTGAGGCGACGACAACATCCTTCCAACTTCTCGAGCCAAATATTCTATTTTCCACGTCTACAAACGCTCGAATTGCCCCTCTCGAAGGAGCGAACATCAGGACCGACGCGATCTACCCCTCCCACCTTCAACCCCTCCAACCCGATACCAACCATCATAATGTCCATCCCCAACGAAGCTCTGCAGAAGGTCAGTCACGAGTCCCAAGTTTCAACCCACAATCCTCCATAACAACACATTAAATTAACATCTTGACAGATCCTGCAAGAAATCGAGGCCCAGGCCATCAGCTCCCAACAGCAATTGGGCATTACCAAGGCTCAGATCACCACCAAACAGCGTGACATCCGCATGCTCGAGCTCACATCCAAAGAGATCGGAGACCTACCCAAAGAGACGCGTGTGTATGAGGGCGTTGGGAAGATGTAAGTCTCTCATCCCACTGATCCCATGCATGTTTCCCGACATTCAGGGAGGCGGTTGGTTTACGATTTGCCTACGGGGACATCCACCGCCTTCGCTTCTCCCTGACTGTTCTATAACCATCCCGAAACTCTCCCCTGGCAATTTAGTACCCACATGATGCAATGGCTAACCATCTGGATTATCGCAAACAGGTTCGTCGCAGTCCCCATCCCCACCATCGACAGGCGGATATCCAGCGAGAGCAACGAGCTCAAATCCGAGATCACGGGATTGGAGAAGAAGCTACATTACTTGGAGATGACGCATAAGAATAGTCGGGAGAATCTGGAGCAAATCTTGAAGGCCGGCCGCGCTTGAGCTGCTGCTTGTCTATATTTCATCAGAACAAACTTGGGCGCTATGGTGTCTTTCGTCTTCTTTCTTCTTGTGGATATTTGTCTAACTATTATACCTTTTTCGGCCAAGGTGGTTTGTCTGTGTGAGAGCAGGTCTGCGATGTACATGATGGAGGGACTTCGAGGAGACTTTGGGAGGGCAAAGAACTGTCAATTCCGTTTATCCTCATGGGCGGAAACCAGGCCATCCGGGAGGTGGTACGGATCAGAGGAATCGATCAAGTAGGTAGGAGTCGATGCCGGTGGGATGGTTCTGTTTGCCTGCGCATAGGATGATAACACCCCGATCACGACACCCAAGACCAGGGACGCGGCTGGAGCGGCAACCCTCATCCTTGCTGGGACACAGCGTGTGTATGTCTCAGGCCATGCATATCCGAGGAGAAGCATTGGGAGATCGGAAGGATAACAGCAGCTACGGCATCCTCTCACCTCACTCGCTGGGCTTGCTTGCTGCTTTGCTTGCTGATTGCTCGACCATTCGAGACGGAAGTGCTCAATCCGCCATCTCTTCTCCATTCGGACCATCGCCTATCAGTGTGGATGGCTCTGTACCCATGTCGTCGTTCCAATCTCAGGCTCTTTTAAATATAATAGGTCGGTATAACACGACGGTTTATGCGTTCAGGATGCATACATGTACCCTGGAACTTACTTGGCTCAGGCCACCAGTAGCAAGCAGCGTTCTAGACGTTTTCGAGGGCACGCACCTGTCGGACATGTAACATGCACCCTTGTATCGAGGGTGAACATTGATATACCTCGTAAGCAACCGAGATGGGAAGATCAATATGTCAACACGATGTCTTATCTCCTCATCGGTCGCGTGAATATGCATCGTGGGAAAAAGCACCTTCTTGTGTAAGCAATGATGAGTGACTGTTAGCTCGGGTGGATTTGTTCAGGGTTATACAAGATGTTGGATTCCATGATCATGGCTGATCTGTGTCGCTCTTTAGTGCGGCGATCAGACAATTGTCCTTGGTGGGGTGTAGCAGTGTCCTGACCGGTTACTCTTACTTGACTTCGAAGCAAACGATACCGCTCACGTTCATGCGCACGCTCAGCTCCATGAACCCGAGGAGCCATATCGATCTTTGGGCCCTGCGACACTCGCAACGACTATAGCAAATCAACCCAATAACAACATGAATCAGATCGGTGAAAGCTCGCTCCTCTTCGATCCAGGTACGAATCATGGAATACAAGGTGATACAGAAGTACAACCAGGAAGCGAGGTGACACGAGCTGTCTCTGCTATTCATAGCTTCCAAAAGCAAAGAAAGAAAGAAAGAAAAAAAAAAAAACCACCAAAGAGACAGATAGTATGACGATCGCCCGTTCAGCTACGGCAATAAGTCTCGATCCTGGGGAATCCAACAGCCATTTCGTCGTCATATGTCTTAGAATTGCACGACTGAGAGAGAGCACAACCACAACTCCGCCATCCTTATCTTGCTCAGCCTCAAGGCCATAGCCCTCAAGGATGATGCTTGGTCGGAAGCTCTGCGACACCCTCTGGATGAAACCCTGGCCCACAACTTCCATCTGAGTTCAGCCAGTCGACTGTAGCATGGCACGTACACAGTACATAGCAGCACATGGCGATTAGTGCACTGATCCTTGTGCAAATCTACTTTCAGGCTACAAAAAACGCCACTAGACATCCTGCTTCCAGAACAGACGCTCTTGCCGTCGACACAATCTCGGCGATGATAGAATCACTTTCAACGCCCTCCTGAAGTTTTGCGAAGTTGCGGGGCAAAGAACCCAAAAAAAGGGAAAAATGACGTGTAAATCATTTCCTTTTCTCCGCCACTCCAACAACATGACCCAGCCTCCTCCCCCCCCCCCCCCCCCCCCCCCCCGGGGGATTTCCTTGCATCCTGCATGATGATGGAGACGAAGGGACCCTCTCTCTCTCCTCCGCGGATCGACTAGCATACGTACCGGACTTCTCAGCCTTGGAGAAACAAGAATAGGTAAAAGCCTATCGATTTGTTAGGTTTTAGCCGATCCAGACCAAGATTGCCTGACAGGCCGGCATCATAGCTGCAGACCCTCAGCACTCTGGGAACAGCCAGGACGCCTGAAGACGGGTTGGAAGAAAGGGTATAAATAGGCTCTGATTCTCAGTTTGCTGCAAGGAGAGATTTACTTGTAAGCAGCAAGACAGTTGTTCCCTTCACGTCCGATTCTCTAACCAAGTCTATTGATCTACCTCGGGTCTACTGTATCAGCGCTGACAGCCTCTCAGACCCCAACAATCCTTAATCAAGCACCATGCAACTCTCTCTGTATATTCTTGCTGCCCTAAGCCTGGGGACTACAACGACTCTGGCGGCTCCGTTCCCAGGGACAGAAGTCAGTGCGCAGAGTGCTTCCACATATCATTGGCACGGTTGTGGCTCAGTCGGCAGTGTATGTTCATTCTCTCGAATCCATGGGGGAATTCCTTTACTAAAGGTCGATGAACAGTGCTATAGCGATGGCGACTGCCAGGTTGACGAGAACTGCCTGAGCATGGCTCAAAATGTGCGTGCAGAAGACCCTGCGCTTCGTTTTTCTGGCAGTAAAATCACTAAACAGACTCACTCTAATGTAGGAGACCAGTCATATCCACTGCGGACAGGAGAACCATCCCACTGCATGCTGGGCTGTAAGTGCCATCATCGTCTTTCATTTCTTGGGTCCTCTGCTGATCAATTTCCCTTCTGTTGTTAGGAGTGGTTTGAGTGAACCGAAAATTGGGACCGTTTACGCCAAGGATCAGATTGATGGATTTAATGCAACGGGTGGATTTAATATGGACCTATGGATGCCCTTAATAATGACGATGATAATGGAAAAGTCTACTTGTTTCTCTTCTTCTTGTCCTTTTTTCATGGCTCTGGAATGGCAGCCTGCAGGGCAATCTCAGCATCCACGTTTTCCCATACGAAAGCCCACACATAGCATGTGTCCGTGCTGATAGCATGACATGACATGACAACCGATTTTCGCATTCGTCCTGATGACGTCGCACAGTCACTTGTTGATGTACTCGTAGAGGAGTCAAGCCTTTTGAACCCGAGATCGCGGCCGCAGGCCAATCTAAGAACACCATCTGATTGATAGATGCTGATTTGGGCCGCCAAGCGAAGCTCCTCCTCCTCCTCCTCCTCCTCCCTTCCACAACCACACTGCTACGTACTGTACAGTGTTTCCGTACATTCCGAACGATCTTCGCGATGGGAATGGATGCCAGACAAACACCGACGAGGGATGGCAAGATCAGGCAGCTCCCCCCCCAAGTATCCAGATCCCGGACCGCTCATTCGTGACAGAACCCGATTCAGGGTGGCGGTGGCCATACCTTAGGTGAGTACTTGCTGGCAGTCTATGTATTCCCAATTCTTGCCTGCTCTATACCTCTGCTTTAGGTGGTTCGTATCGGATGCGTTGGGGAACTAAATGCCTTCGGGTTTTGAATCGTTGATCGACAAGGGACTAGCTTAAGATATTGGAGAAAGGATGAGGCGGTGGCTATTGGTGTTGGGGGCCAAAGATGTAAGTACAGAGTAGTAAATTGGGACTGTGGCTCAGTCATCTTGGAACGGGGCCTGGTCTCGCAGTGCACACACATGCTCCGTGACCGCAACTCAAGGCAGCCCGGTCAGGTGTCAAGTGTCTGCGACCGTGAGCTTCACTAGTAGAATAAGACGGGAGTCACGCTGGATCGGATAATCATCATTGGTAGGGAGGGTCAGAAGATGTACATGTACAGCTCAGTTGAGGACTGTACAGAATGTGGTGTGTTACCCGCTTCCATTCAATACTCCACTCTCGGGCAGGACCAACTCACTCTTTCTCACAGTGACTGCTCTGGGCTGCACACAGCCTGGACTGGGTCCATCAGGTACCAGCGGAGTCCACTCTTTAGTTGCGCGTACCACTCGACCCTTTGGACTGTGCCCCTCTTTTTTTTGTTTTGGCTTTCTCTGGTCTCCAGCCCCCAGGGTCCCTTTTTCTTTGCTCGCCCATGGATACTGCAGCGGTTGATCCCGTCCCTCTACCCTTGGGTAAGAATATTGTCAACATCCTTTCAGTAAGTAGGGTTGTTCTTCTCTGGTCTCCGTGATCTATCACTAAAGGATAATGTACTAGAATCTTCGGATGCTGCACTGACTGGAAGTGACCAGAATAAGCTACTGGAAGGACATCCCCCCCATTTGAAGCCATCTGCTCGACGGTAGACCTGCGTGGAGTATGTAGTCTTTTTTGGAGAGGCTCTTAGTTTTCACAGATCAGCCCTACCAATGTAAGGTGGTGTAGTATCGACAGACAGATAGACAATACAATCTTCAAGACCGTATCTCTCTTCTTTTTTTTCCTGGTCTGGTTTCCGGCCTATAGTAGGTGAAAACAACTTCGCCAGGCAGAACCGACGATGACAGGTTCGGTTGCCAGATGATCAATCAGCTCGGCCCAATGATGCCAATCATTCCCCCACTTCAGCTGAACAAGACAGTTTTTTAAGGCACGAGGGAAGGCTTTGCACCTGCTCGTTTCTTTTCTTGTTTTTCTCACTCCTTCTGTTGCGGTGCCTCTCGTCTTGTCTCTTTTTCTTCTTCCCTCTGCTTCGTTTCCCATCAGTCCCTGGGTTTATGGTTGAAGCTGGTGGTTGTTATTGTTGGCGCCGTCTCTTGCTCACCCCGCCCACTCCCATCTTTATCATCACCGCTGCTATCACTACGCACTACTACTGCCGTTCTCCTCCCAGCCTCCTCAGCCCCGTCGACGTCACTGCCTGCCAACCAGGCATCCCACCCCCTCCTCACTTCTCTTCCCCTCTTCCCCTCTTCCCCCACCATTCAACGGTCTGACTCCATCCCAATCCAAACACCACACAATCACAACAAGTGAATATAACTTGTGAGCAAAATATATTGCCAAAGAAGAGACGCAGAAGAAGAGAAACACACTCTCCTCGTTCTCGCAACATGGGTTCCCGTCGACGTCACACCCTCCTCACCGATTCCGAATCGGATTTCTCAGAATCGGATATCTCGATGATCGAGTACCCCGGCCGCAAGGTGAGCCATCGTCACCGCTCCGTCTCGCGGCACCGGCACTTCAGCCCGGAGTACAGCAGCAGCAACGCCTACCTCAGTCCCGTCCTACACAGCGACGCACAGCATCAGCAGCATCTCCACCGGTCCGCCTCGACGGGCGCCCGCCGCCGGCCCGACCGCCACCACCGCGACCACAGCCAGGCCCCCGTGGCCGTCTTCGTCGACGTCAACAACCACAACGACACCAAGTCGGACAACAAGACCGACACGAAGACCGACGCCAAGACCGACTCCCGCAACAAGAGCGCCACCAAGCAACGCAAGGCCGAGCACCGCCTCAACAACAACTATAACATCAACGACTACGACGACTCCGAGGATGAGACGAACCTGCGCGCCCACCGCCGCCGGCCGCGCTCCAGCACCGCCAGCATCTCCCGCGAGGCGTCCCCGCGCGCCCCCGGCGTCGGGGTCGGGGCGCCGCAGATGATCCCCGCGGGCCGCGACCGGGACTTCGATCTCGTCATCGACCAGCGGCTGCTGGAGCGGAACGACGCCCGCCAGGACCTGGAGCTGTTCCGCCAGCAGCAGGAGATCGAGCGGCTGGAGCGCGAGCTGGCCCGCCACCGCGAGGTCCGCGAGCACCAGCAGGAGTACCGCCCGCACCACGAGGTGCGCATGCTCAAGGAGGAGGAGGACTGGTACGAGGACGAGATCAGCGAGCGGCTGCGCCGGCTGGAGCGCTTCGAGAAGAAGCAGCGCATGGAGGAGGAGCAGCGCCAGGTCGAGCACCGCTACAAGCTGATCAAGTTCGAGGAGGCCCAGCGCCAGGCCGCCGAGCAGGAGGAGCTCAACCGTAAGATGCGCCAGAAGCGCCTCGAGGACCTGCAGCGCAAGATCGACGAGGAGGAGGAGCGCGAGCGCATCAAGAAGGAGATCCGCGACGAGGAGGCCCGCCGCATCCTCGCCGAGCAGGAGCGCACCCGCAAGGAGGCCGCCATGAAGCAGGCCGCCATCGACGAGTGGAAGCTGAACGAGGAACGGCGAATGATTGCGGAACGCGAGGAGAAGAAGCGCCGTGATCACGAATTCAAGGAGAGATTGAGACTCGAGTTCGGCTACAATGAGCACGAGATTGAGGAGATCCTCCGAAAGAAGGAGAAGAAGGAGAAGAAAGAGGAGAAAAAGGAAGAAAAGAAGGAGGAGAAGAAAGAAGAGAAGAAGGAAGAGAAGAAAGAGGAGAAGAAGGAGAAGGAGAAGCTCCCGGAGCCTGAGCCACACCAGCGCACCACCTGGATTAAGGTATTCCTCCTCTTTCAAGTAGAATAAGCGACGATAAAGCTGACTGACTGGCTATAGGTTCACCGCAAGCATCTACTCCCTGATACGCTAATCGCCTACCGCCTTCCATGGGACTGGGACGATGTACGTTAGCCCTGACGCCCACATATATTATAACAATACTAACTAAATCTCTCTTCCATCACAGCTCGACAGCAACTACATCATCATCAAGCAATGGATCTCCGAAGACTTTCAGGAAGAGCTCTTCGCCCACACGCGGCGCTTGCGCGAGGGCAAGCTCGTCACCCAAACCTCCAGCACCCTCACCGAACTCAAAGTCAACGACAAGAAGAAGAGTGACAAGATGTACCTTGTGAGGAAAAAGAACCCCGGTGGCCGGGCCTGGATTCTTACCTGATCGATCGATCGAGCATACGAAGCCACACATTTAACCTGATAGAACAAAAACACACCCGCCGCCGCCGCCCCGTTGAAATTCTTGAAATTATGATACCATGATCTGTCTTAACGTCTGTCACGAAATTCGGTATCATCCAGCCGCCCCTTTTCTTTCTTGTTTGTCAACTCTCTTTTGCTTTTGGGAAATCTCTTGTCAAGCAAGTCCGTGGTACAGATCCAGTTGAAGAGGTGCATGATGCTATCTATGTCAAGTCCAATATTTTCTTGATTTCCATTTTGTCCTGAGTTGGGATTTTGAATGCCTTTTTTTTTCCCTTTCCTGGTCTTCCAAAGCTGAACATATGATATGATACATTTGCATGGGGTGCGGCGAGTGAGTGAGTTGCCGAGCCCTTTCATCTATATAATTCGTAACAAGTAAAGAGATTCCGTGGATGAATGAAGAGGAGAGACCTCCCTGCCGAAGTGTTGTTTTTGTGATGGTAATCATGAGCGCGATTCTCCCTGCGCGGCCCACTGCACCTCAGCGCGCAGGATGAGCTCCTCGTACACCGTCCAGGCGAGCGCGGAGCTGAGGGCCTTCCTCGTGATGCGCAGCCCCAGCCCGCCGAACAAGCTCCGCACCCCGTCCTCGCGGACCATCAGCCTCGCCGCCCGCATCATATTGCCGTACCGGCCCGGCATAAGCTGCAGGCGCGTCTTGACCGCATCGAAGGGGTTCGTTATCGCCGTGGCCAGACCCGCGGCCAACCCGCCGGACACAAAATTAATGGACGACGAGGACGGCGACCGCAGCGGCTGCTGCTGCTGTTGCTGTTGCTGTTGCCCGTCGTGTCCCTCCGCCACAGCGGCGGCCGCGGCGGCGCGACTACTCGCCAGCGCAGCCAGATGCCGCTTCAGCTGCTCGTAGAACAGCACGTAGAGGCCGGCGTAGGGGGCGTCGCGGGCGGCGGTGGCGCCGAAGCCGCTGAACAGGCCGCGCACGCCCTCGGCGCGCACGATGTCGCGGCCCGCGCTGAGCAGGCTGCGGTAGGCGTAGAAGTCTGACTCGTAGCGGACTTTCAGGACGGTCACGGGCATCATGACGAAGCCCGCGGCGACGCGGGCGGCGGCACCGGTGGCGAGGTTGGCGGAGTTGGAGAGCTTGGGGAGCGCGGAGGAGGAGGAGGACGTGGAGGACGTGATGCTATTTATGGGGGTGGGGGTGCTGCTGCTGGGGCTGGCAAGGACGAGGGGCATCTGGGTTTGGGCCAGCCCTTGGCGCAGCGCGTTCAGGCTGGTGAAGTACAGCGCCGAGCCGAAGCCCGTTCGCAGGGCTGAGGGGAGGGTGCCGCGCCATAGGCCGCGGATCGGGTGCGGGGAGGAGAGGATTGCTTGCAGGGTCGGGAGGAGGGAGGCGCTTTGGGATTGCTGTACGCGGGTCTTGAGGAGGTCGGCGGGTTGGAGGAGGATGGAGGAGGTCAGGCCGGAGCAGAGGCCGGCGGCGAAGTGGAAGGTTGTTTTGGAGGCTGGGGGTGCGCGGATGAGTTAGTGGGTGGGGAGTCATTTGCTGATGTGCTTGGAGGTAGGCAGTTAGGGGGAGAGGAGCAGAAGGGTGAGGGTGGTGCAAGGGCTTGGTTGGTATACAGAGGGCGCAGACTCACGCGTGGAGGTTGTTTTCACCTGCGTCACCGCGTAGGTGGCATTGTTCGACATGTCTATGGATGGCGCCCTCAGGTCAATCCTAGGGAGGGCCTTCGATGCGGTGGATGGATGTTCGGTGGAATTGGTATCACAGGCCTCAGTTCATTGGGAACAAGAGGAAGGAGAGAGTTCTGGGTGTGAATCGATGAAGAATTCCAAGGGTCCTAGACAAGCCGCATCAAAGCGGTCACATTCACGTTGAGGGAGGCAATGCCAACATCTCAATTTATGAATGATACAGAGGGAGAGAGAAGAGAGAAGAGAGAAGAGAGATAGGGCGATGGACGTTCGCCTGAAGGAAGTCAGGCACAAAGTTTCAACAGTACAAAATGAAATCCAACAGGAAAAAGGAAAGACGGTGTAGAATAATGGATGGATGGATGGGAAGAATTGCACGTTCACAGAGAAGGGCCTCGGACGGACATTTTGGACCCATCCAATTTTCCTGAAGCGGCCAAAAGCGGATCCGCTGGTCGGAGCGAGTGAAGTCATCAGTCACTACAGAAAAGCAGGCTGATTGGCGGATCCGCCACTTTTGGAATACTCTCACGTCTCCGTGCTTTTCCACCGGTTCTTCCGGGGTGTCCCGCGCAAGGGATGGATCATGGATCGCAAATGCAGCTTAAGCTTATTATCTTTTCCAGATTGACGATTGACAGACAAGAAGGGCCTGAGATTATCACCACGGACTAGTCAATGGACTAGTCAATAGACTTGTACTTATGCTCAGTGCGAGACTACTCATATGTTGCACCAGTTCCGGCCAGGGCGTAGACCTCGTGTTGTACAGTACTCCGTCCCAGTCAGTACCTTAAGCTCAGGTCTCACTCACAAAATCTACGCCTCTCCTTTACCTAGCATCCAGCCACCAAAGCTTCTTTTGAGCAGAGCTAGACGCTTGTCCTGGATACTCTAGACAATCCGTACAATTGAGCGATCTGACATGCCTCGAGCACTGGACAGATGGCAACCTTGACTGGAGATTGTCTCCCCAGGAACATGTGCCGCGGGAGAAGGGCTGAACGCAGAAGAATGCTGCCCTATCCTCGATGGAAAACACTCACGATTGCTGGAGTGGGCATCATGGCCACCGTGGACTCCATAAACCGACCATTTATCAGACCTGTCCAATCGGCAGGTAATGAAAGCAGCCCGACAGTCTGACTGGGCCGGGCGCAGATCAACTGTGGTTGTCGATCGACGTCACGGGTCTGGTCTGAGAGGGAGAGGGAGAGGGAGACTGTGTGGAAACTGGAGACTGCACGGCACTGCACTGCACTGCACTGGGACTTTCCAAGGCAACTCCAATCTGTCAACCCCGGCTTTCACTTTTCACTACCCTTTTTTTCTCTCTCTCTTTTTAACCCAATTCTCCATAACTGTCATGCTCTTCTGCCTATAACCCAGATTCTCTACACAGTCTCGTCGCGTTTGAGAGCTTATCGCAGCCCCTCTTCCCTGCGGAGAGCCTCCCCCCCCCCCCCCCCCCCTCCTTCTCCTTCCATCATGTCTCGATGGGCTTTCCTTCCGAACATTCCGTATCCGCCCTCGAGGCCGGGATACTGGAGCCCCGTCACATCCACCTTGAATTGGTGTGAAGAGGTCCGTCGCCATGATCGGGTCGCCTCTCTGAGGAGTATATGCAGTGCTAACATGTCTCTTGCATAGGATTACTATGCTACGATTTACTCCGCCGAGATCGTCAACACCCTGACAAACCTCCTGTTCATGTGGCTCGGGATCAAGGGCATCCGCAGCTGTCGGCGCAACGGACATGACAGGATCTTCGAAGTCGCCTACTACGGCTACCTCGTGGTCGGAACAGGCAGTTTCCTTTTCCACGCCACGCTGAAATGCAAGCCACGTCCCTCAACCCCACGTCCATACATCCTGAGCGCTGACCGGGTTTCCTCTCCGCACAGATCCCATGCAGCTGGTGGACGAGCTGTCCATGATCTACACCACCTGTCTGATGTGCTATGCCTCCTTCTCCTACTCCAGACCCACGCCCTTCCGCATCTTCTTGGCCTTCCTCCTGGCCGGCCTGGCGATCTTCATCACCCTCTACTACCACTACCTCCAGGACCCCGTCTTCCACCAGAACGCCTACGCTCTCCTGACCACGGTCGTCGTCCTACGCAGCATGTACACCATGGAGGTGACCCTGCGCCCGCGATGGCGCCACTCCACCGAGGCGGACCGGCTCGCGCGCGAGCGACAGGGCTTGGCCGTCCCGACCAAGGAACACCAGCATTACGAGAACGTCAGGGATACGAAGACCCTCAAGACCATGTGGTTCATGGTGGCGTACGGCCTCAGCATGTTCTTGGGCGGATTCGGGATCTGGGGCTTAGACAACGTCTTCTGTTCGAAGATCCGCGGATGGCGCCGGGAAGTGGGTCTGCCTTGGGGGATCCTTCTTGAAGGCCATGGATGGTGGTATGTTTCTTTTTGATTCTTGGCGCGTTCGCGCCCGATGATCTCGAATTGGACGCCAGAATGCTGACTTGGATCTTGTTTAGGCACTTGATGACGGGGTTCGGTGCTTATCTGTACATCATCTGGGGCATCTGGCTCCGTCATTGCCTGAACGGTCGCCAGGAGGAGTATCATCTGTGGTGGCCTCACGTTTGGAATTTTCCTGAGGTCATCCGCACGAGCGACAAGGGTAAGAGTGAGAATGACGCGGCGAAGAAGTCGAACTAGATCGGGTATATCCTATTTTTTTTTTATTATTTTATTGCTTTAGATCAGCCGCTTAGGAGTGTGATTTGAGCACTGGGAAATGAGCGCTTCGGTTTCTGTGGTCTTGAGCTAAGAGAACTGCGCTGCGGGCTGGGGCCGTGCTCATTGCCGTCGTCTCGGCCACGCTCTTGGGAACTTATACTACTTATAGAAGTGAAATGAACCACATCCAGTTGCTAGGCAGGACATCAATCCATGTTTCTGATGCAAACAACCTACTGTACATATACAGTATATAATCTCTAGCGCGCAACATAACTCAATCATCTATAGACACAAACCCAACGTCCCCTACAATTTCGACTCGGGAGCCGCCTTCTTGGGCCTCTCCGCCCTGGGAACATGCTCCTTCCACCGAGGATCGATCGTGACCTTCTCGATCTTCGATTTCTTCCGCCACTGCTCCCGGAAGGCCTCCTCCTCGGCGCGCCACCGCATCAACTCGCCGCCGAGCCACTCACTGGCCGCCTCGGCGCACTGCCCCGGCGCCTCCTGGGCCAGCAAGTGCCCAAAGTCTTTGAGGTAGACATCCCGCACCCGCCCCGCCGCCACCCCGCCGCTCCCGCCGAGCCCCGTCCCCGTCGCCCGCAGCTTATCCTCCATCATCTCCGGCAGACACATATCCGACTTGCCCGCAAAGATGTAGCAGACGCTCGGCCGGAGGTGCGGCAGCATGGCGAACACCCGCGCCGGCTCCGGGCGGTAGAACGGCCACGAGCCCCGATGCTCCGGGTTGAGGTCCGGGTGCGTCGTCCGGTCGACGGGGACTTTCCGGCCGGGCGGTCCGTCGTAGTTGGGCCGCGAGAACGTGAAGACTTCCTGGTGGAGGGTGGTTTTGAGGGTGACGGGGTGGTTTGCGTTATCGTCGTCGTCGTTATCGTCATTCTTCTGGGGAAGTGGGTGGATCGCGGTGGGCAGCTCGCGCAGACCGTGCTCGATCCAGCGCGCGAGCACACGCGGGTCCCACGCTTGGTAGAAGGGGCTGCGCTGGAAGCCCGCCGCCGCGGCGGTGCGCGAGGGCCACACCTCGCGCCGGTAGGTGGAGAGCTGTGTGGTTTTGGCGATCGTCTCGCGCTGGTGGTGCGCCATTTCGAGGTGGTCGAGTTGCGTGGATTCGCGCTGGATGACTGGGTCGAGAAGGATGAGGGAGTGGATGAGGCGCGGGTGCATGAGGCATAGTTGGGTTCTTTGGGTTGTTTTTGGTGCATGGGTTAGTGGGCGGGGGGCGCCAGTGGATGCTGTTGAATTGGGGGGGGGGGGGGGGTGTGCTTACAGGTGTGCGCCGCCCATGCTATGACCTACGCCTACGATGGGTCGTGGTATCTCCTTGCGCTTGACGTTGAGGAGGTGCAGGAGATCGCGGGGGTGGTCGAACCAGCTTGCTGTTTGTGCGCGCACGCATGTTGGTCAGTGGCTGTTGTGGCTGTTGTGGCTGTTGGTTGCAACGTTGGGAAGCACGTACGGTCATTTCCGAGAAGGTCTTCGTTCAGCACACTGCTCTGGCCCTGGTGGGCTACATCTGCCATCCAGATGCTCCGGATCCGGAATCCGTTGGCTTTGGAGCGTGCGTATATCTCCTCCCACAGGGGTTCGTAGAGTTCCTGGCAATGACGGGTCAGCTGGTTTGTCCTGTTGTCGGTGCGCAGGGACGCTGTGTGACAGCGGGAGTCAATTCCGCGGCGGTACCTTGGGGAAGCCATTGGCATGTGCAGCAAGGATTGTGACGTCTCCCGGCTGGGGATTGGGGTTGTCCAGTGGGATGTACTGTTTTACTGCAAGGTTGAGAATGTCCTCTTGCTCGTGAGCGGTGGCCGCGGGATACTCTCGTATATGTTGGCATTCGATCGTGTGCTCGACTATCCGAAAGGGGCTGAATGTTGTCGGTGATGAGGACATGTTGGTGGTTATTTTCTATGGGGATTTATGCGTGGGCGAAGGGTATGGAGAGGTTATGCATATATATTACTTCAATCGGTGCCTCGGGGCGTGGGGAAGGGAAGCTATTTCCCCAGATCGGAGTGGTGAACTGCCGGGGGTGAGGACGAGCCGAGGTTGATGTGTAGAATGCCGCTGGATGAGAGTGCTAGACTTTCTAAGGTTCTTGGCTGATAACGTCAAGTGATGAATCAGTTATCACATCACAAGGCAAGATGGCCGAGTTGGTCTAAGGCGTCAGGTTAAGGTTACCTTAGCATTCAGCTTCACAGCTTCCTGATCATCGTTTGATGGCGTGGGTTCGAATCCCACTCTTGTCATATCTTTTTGGTCTTTCTCCGTCGTTGATCCATATCATTTATTTTTGTCCTGTCCCAGTTTTTGGTATTTCTATATGTTCGTCTTTTATTGGGACTGCCTTGATGGTGGTGGACTTGATTGTTTTTAGAAGTTGTTGCTCGGGGCAGGTTCAGTGCAGAATATATTCCAAGTTACTGTGTCCATATGGTATGGGCATGGCAGCCAGTTTCCGGATGCTGCCGTCTCACCCCCCTTTCATTACCGCTGCAGTTGGATCCATGATCATGACCGATTCTGGGAACGTATCCTCAGCAACAAGCAGACAATACTTTATTCTCATCAACTGCGATGACTCTGGCAGGCCCTACAAATGTGTTACTCATACTAGCAGCTGCAAATTCGATGGATCAGTCCTCCGTATAGAGACAACACAACTCGCAACTTCTGATACCTCACAACATCCCAACTTCTAACAGACCACGTACTGTACTTGTTTATGACCATGGGACCATAAACAATGACACATGGTACTGCTGCCCGATGATGTTAATTTACCACGCTGATCGGTGATACATCTTATCTCCACGTGACGTGGTGTCGTGCGGCGCGTCGGCGCGTCGCATTTGCAGAACCACGAGGTTCAGCTGCCACTCCATCTTCTCAGCACATACACCACTCCTTACATCACTCGACCAAACATACGGTCGTCGCAGCCTATCCTAAAAAGTCGAACAGAGCCACCGGAATAGCTCCCACCATGGGGGACCAAGGTGGAGAGATTCAACTCTTCAACCAGTGCAAGATCTGTATCATATGCTCCAAAGATCTCAGTGCCGATGCGGCGCATCAAGTCTGTCGCCTGATCCTCCACGCGCCCACAGATTACTGAAGGGAGACTCTTACTGACTCTTGCCCCACACAGCTGGCATTTACATTCGAGCAACATGGCGGCGAATCCGTTATTTACGAGCCACCGGCCGAATTCCCGCCTCTGACCGAATTCACGCACCTGATGAGCTGCACCATCGACTTCCCCGCGTTCGAGGCCGCAAATGACGCCTTGATCCCCATTGTCAAACCATACTGGCTCCAGGCCTGTCTTCAGAAGCGAAAGCTGGCCAACCCACGACAATACAGTCCAGATCCTCGACTGATCCTCAACGATGTGGTGGTGACTTGCGGCGACATCCCGGAGGGCGACAAGGAAGCAATCATCGGGGGAGTTCTCGCAAAGGGTGGATTGTATAGTCCCAGGATCTCCCAGCCGGTCACCCACCTGGTTGACCTGACTGCGGACTCGGATAAGGCCCGCCTGATTATCGCGAAGAGGCTCAAGATCAAGATCGTCTTGCCCCACTGGTGAGCAGACCCAGAAGCAAAGCTCAACCTGGTGGGTCTAACAAGGGTTTCTTCCAGGTTCGATGACTGCCTCAAGCTTGGACGACGAATCGACGAGCGCCCGTACCTTCTCCCCGACCCCGAGATTCTGCGTGCGGCGCCCGACGCTCCCATACGCTCAGCGGAAAATCGAGACATCATCGGTGCATCGACACCTGACCCCGCTAATCTACCAGTTGCCGTGCAGTCGACAGACGAACTGCCCAGGCTAAATGTCTTCGAGAACAAGAGTGTCATGCTTGCTCCGGATCTCGGGATCGGGTCGCGTCTCTCTGGCTCCATTGGAGACATCATCAGGGAGGGTGGAGGCTCTGTTGTTGCGGACATATCAGCTGCGGACATCCTGATCTGCCGCTACCGAGAAGGATTCGCCTACCGCATGGCATTTCAGTTGAACAAAGATATCGGTAATCTATCCTGGCTCTACCACCTCATGACATATAACACCTGGACTTCTCCTCTACGACGGCTGTTACACTACCCCATTTCACGCAAGGGTATCCCAGGATTCCAGGGGTTCAAGATCAGTCTCTCAAATTATGTCGGAGAAGCCAGAAGCTACCTAGAGCACCTGATCACAGCAACAGGTGCCGAATGCACCAAGACCCTCAAGCAAGAGAACACACACCTGGTGACGGCGCATGGAAACAGCGAGAAATGCGCCGCGGCGAAGGAATGGGGTCTGCAAGTTATCAACCACCTGTGGCTAGAGGAAAGCTACGCGAAATGGAAGCTGCAGCCCGTCTCCGATCCCCGCTATACGCACTTTCCCAAGAGAACAAATCTGGGCGAGGTTGTTGGCCAGACCAGACTGGATAAAGCCGTGCTCGAAAGCCAGCTCCTACTCGAGACCAATAACGTGGGACAGGCACTGTCGAGTCCACGACCGGTGATGCAGCACAAGGACCAGAACGCTGTGACTTCCAAGACGCCGAAACTTGTCCAGCAGTCCTCCGCAAGAACTACCGAGTCTGAAACTGAAGTGCCGCGCACGTCAGGTGCTACACCGCGGGTTGCGGACAAGTCCCGGAACGTCATGGATCCTCCAAAACTGCAGACGCCCGCCCGGACCCGGCTCACATCCGAAGGAAAGGAGAATGATACGCCGTCGAGCACCAGCAGTCGCAAGTCCAAGGAAGTGGCCGCTGCTCGACTACACGATCTTGCACCCGACATGGCGTTGTATGAGAAGGAGAAGAGGCGTGTTGGGGGTGTGATTCATGGTGGCCGGAGGGTGTCTGACGAGGATCGCGTAGTACTCAACCCCAGCAGGAAGCGCGTGTCTATGGAACCGCAGGACGAAAGCGACGAGGATGAAACGACAGAGACCAAGAGACAGAAGAAGTCTAGACCCCCTGTTGCGATGCATCTGCTGATTACCGGATATCAAAAATGGGTCAAGAACCCGAAGACAGAGGATTCTGACAAGGTATGTATCTCATGGTACGACCAAGAATTTGCGATCTAACGATTCACAGCGACAACTACGTGACCTTGGGATTTTGGTAGTCCAAGAAGCGAAGAGGTGTTCTCACCTTGCCGCACCGTCTATCCTCAGGACCCCCAAGTTCGTGAACGCATTGGCCTACGGACCAGTCATCATGAACATCGATTTCGTCACTCAGTGTCTCAAGCAGAACGCCCTCCTCGATCCTGCGGACTACACCCTCAAGGACAAGGCTTCCGAGGAAAAGTATGGATTCAAGCTCGAAAATGCCAGAACCAATGCCAAGAAGAACAAGAACAAGCTGTTGCACGGATACCAGATTTACTGCGTGGAGACTATTCGTGGCGGGTTCGATGCATTCAAGTCCATTGTGGATGCCAACGGTGGGCAGTGCACTCTATTCCGGGGTCGGGTCTCATACCGATCACAGAGAGAAGAGAGCGAGGAAAGCTCGGGAGATGATGACCCCAGCCGCAAAGAGGTGTATCTGCTGAGCAGCACGGAACCGGATCAGGTGAAGACATGGCCTCGCTTCCGAAGTATGGTTCTGAGTACGGGCAAAACACCACGGATTATTCGTGTGGAGTGGCTTCTCGATATGGCTATGTCCCAGAAGCTGCATGCGGCGGATGCCTATGAGCTGAGCGAAGGAATGGCCGAGGTTTCGGAGCAGTAAGTAGGCCGGGATCTATATGGTGTTATGAGTGCTGCGTCCAAGCGTCTTTGCTGGTTTGAAAGAAATGATAGAAATGGCTCTTTCGGGTCACTTCACCGGGGACTTTTGTAAATGACTTACACTTTGCATGAAAATAGCCTGTTGTACTCAGAATCAATTCGTCCAGATATCACGAACAGATGACCGTCTAGAAGAATTTGACACCTTCTTGGCCTTCGCCACCGAAAACCTGTGCCTTGCCTCGTTTTACCAGCACATTGAGGCATTTGAGCATCACGTCCGTATCCATACCGTGCCATTCTAGCCGATCAGTTCCTCTGTGGGAAGGAAGGCTCACAGCACAACGTACCTTGTGACAACGTCCCCTCCCCCTCCACCAACTCATAGACCGTCAGAACCACATTCTTCTGCCCCGTATTCTCCACCTGCAATCACAGTCAGGTCAGCAGCGAACGTTGCAGACGCACTCTTCCCCATCTCATTTCCCTAGGATCATCCACATACCCAATCCGCCACGGTGCCCGCCCACTCCTCGGGTCTCTTCCACCAGATGCGAGCCACAGTCTTGGTGCTCCCGTCCAGCCACTCCGCTCGCTGCCCGCCGCCGCCGCCGCCGCCATCCTCTTCCCCCTTGGCCATCCAGTCCAGCACATCCCGCGCATCTTTCATGGACAGTCGCTTCCGCAGCGCCGCGTTGTAGAACAGCGGGCTCTCGATGGCCTCGCTGAGCGCCAGGCGGTAGGTTCGGTGATGGCGACACCACGCCTGGATCAGGGAGGACCATTTCTGGAGCTGCGAGGTGCGCGTCGCGCTGTTGGGTTGCGGCGTGAAGAAGGGGGGGAAGGAGTAGGTTGGCGGGAATTGGAAGGGCGGAGGCGGTGGTGCGGTCGTCATTGTCTATGTATATGTTCTTGTATGTGTGATATAGCAAGGTTGTGCGATAGATGCTCCTCTTCGGCAGGAATCGATCGTTGTGCAATGGTAAGCTTTGAATGATTAGTGTAGATGAGGTGATTGTGTTGTTCAGAAGCTGAGCCGATCGCCCGATACCGCCGGTATCGATAAGCAAAGGCGGGCGGCAGCGGCAGCAAGGAGCCCCGCGATGGAGGGAGCTAAACTCAACTTTCCGCTCCCTTTCTTTTCTTCTCCGCCTTGGAGAATTTTCCGCCTTTCGCCCTCCCCACGGTCCCGTCACCATCCTCCATTTCCTCTCCCCGCTGCTGCACCAATTTGCGCAATTGGGGTTATTTTTGGGGCGTGTCTTCCCACCCTCTTCGATTGGACTTACATATCAACCCTGCAACAACACAATCACAATGACTCCTCCACCTGCCAAACGCCAGAAGCGCGATGAGTATCGCAAGCAGGCAGCCGCTACGAACCCCGACGGCAGCAGCACCACCACCAACGAGACCAGCCTCCCCGCGCGGGTCAAGCTGCCCAAGAAGAAGTTCTACCGTCAACGGGCGCATGCGAATCCGTTCTCGGATCATCAGTTGCAATAGTATGTTGGGTTCTTGGTGTATCCCATTCTTCACACCGCACCCTACCTACTCACCTAGCATATTACCGGGCGACTGACTTCTCTTCGGAAATAGTCCCCTCAGCCCGGCGCATATGGACTGGGCCTCGCACTTTCCTGCCTATGTGAACCCGGACCCATTGCAGACGAACCTCATCGGCACCCGCAAGCTGCTGAAGGATGTGGAGATCGTGGATATCGGGTGTGGATTCGGTGGGTTGCTCGTCGGTCTTGCGCCGTTGCTGCCGGAGACGTTGATGGTTGGTATGTATTTGCCGTGTTTGTGTCTGTTATCTTCTACTATTTTTGCGCTGGGTAGCTTCTCTCATTCAGCAGAAAGCTAACGTGCCGTCGTCGGCGAAAACAGGAATGGAAATCCGCGTCTCCGTCCTTGACTACCTGTCCACCCGGATCCAAGCCCTCCGCGCCCAGCAGCAGCAACTTCAATCGACCCAAGGCACCTCCACCTCTGCCTCCACCACTCAAGCCACTACAGACACCACCACAGCGCTCACCACCGAACCCACCGCCATGGAAACCGAACCTTCCACCGAAACCCAAACCCCTACCACCACCGAACCCACCACCACCACCGACGAACCCACCGAACCCACCGAACCCACCACCCTCGTCCCCGGTGGCTACCAGAACATCACAGCGATCCGCAGCAACACGATGAAGTTCTTCCCCAACTTCTTCGCCAAGCACCAGCTGTCCAAGATCTTCATCTGCTTCCCGGACCCGCACTTCAAGGCCCGCAAGCACAAGGCCCGCATCGTCTCGGAGACGCTGAACGCCGAGTACGCCTACGCCCTGCGGCCCGGCGGCCTGCTCTACACCATTACGGATGTGGAGGAGTACCACCACTGGGTGCTGCGGCACTTCCGCGAGGGCGAGGACGCCGCGGCCGTCGACGGCGCCGTCGGCACCGTCAAGGAGCTGTTCGAGCGCCTGACCGACGAGGAGCTGGCGCGGGACCCCTGCGTGCGCGTCATGAGCGAGGAGACCGAGGAGTCCAAGAAGGTCACGCGCAACAAGGGGAATAAGTACGTCGCCGTGTTCCGGCGGAAGGAGGATCCCGCTTGGCCGGCTTAGCCTTATCTATGCCCTTGAGGCTATAATTGATTTGGAGGAGGAGGAGGGTTTAGCAAAAAGTTATATAGATGAATTGTATATGCTTGTAACTGGATTGATATCTGTGTGCGTATCTCGACGTAGGCAAGTATCTTTGGGGATCTACGGTTGGTCTTGATAGTCCAAAAGTCCGTCGACAAAAATATTCTCTAAAGAAAGGGCATCCCGGCTGTCATGATATTCGAAGAAATCAAAAGGAAATGCAACAAATGCCAAAACAAGACCACGGAGAAAATGCATAACCACGACAAACAGCAAAACAACATTCTCATGCTTATGGCTCATCCAGAAAACATACTTCGCGTGCTAAACTCCCGCTTGCGGCTATGCAATTGATATGGTGGGTTTCTAGTCAAGGTTGGCAAACGAACAAGGCAGAATAAAGTCAAGAAAGATCAAGGTTGGCGCACTTGGCCCAAAAAAGATATATCAGCAGTGCATGTCTCAGTCAATGAGCAGCACTGTGACGAGGAGGGAGCGGTGGATTGTAGAAAATATGACTGCAATCAACGTAGAAGTGAAAAAAACGCAACAGAACGAATCTAACCAGGATTCGAAGCTGTCACGGATTGTTCGGGTAGGTATCTCAGGGAGATGCTTTCAGTCGGATGCCCTCGCAGCGTTCACACACGGCAAGCTGAACGGGCCCTCCAATGATGCGGCCCTTGGCCGTTCGTTTGGGCTCGCCCTCGCGGACAAAGTACCGCCCCTCAGGCCCGAACCCATCGCCGCACTCGTGGCAGACGAAGCACTGGTCATGCCACTGGCCGCCGATGGCGGAGATCACCACATCGTCCAGGACGGGCTTCTTGCAGCCGAGGCAGCGGGGGGCGGTGCGGCGGGAATGGCATTGCAAGCACCACGCAAACCCATCCTTTTCCACGAATGGTTTCTCTGAGCTGAAGGGCTGGAAGCGGAAGAAAAAGAAGGTTAGCATGTGCAGAGGTTTGAGTTAGGGGAGGATTTCCGTACATCACCACATTCAGCACAAAAAAAATGGCCGACATGCCACTCGGCACCGCACGCTACAACCACTTCTCCCTCTATCGGAGTCTTACAGCTCTTACATCTGGGGCTGAACAACTCATGGAAGTCAAGGTGACAGTAGAATCTCAATGTACGAGCTTCTTCATCGTCGGCCGCTGACTCGGCTAGTCGCTCGGCTCTCTTCGCATCCGGCTCTTGGTAGAACGCCACGCACTCAAGAGGCGTCTGACAGTGATGACACACAAAACACTCGGGATGGAAACGAGTGCCGGCGGCAGTTACAATCTTTCCAGCGATCGGAAGTGTACAGCTCTCGCACTTGGCAGTAGGTACCCCGGAGCGTGTATAAGTCGATAGCCAACGACTCGTTGAGCTTGTGGCAGTCTTTGGAGGAGCTCGATTTAGGCCTGCATTACTCTTTGGCGGAGTTGGTAATGGCTTCACTGCCATTCCGGAGCCCCCGCGAGAGCCAGAAATCTCAGAAATGGTAGGCTCCTTATCGTCCGGTAGATTGATCACCGGCACGGATGGTGCCTCGGACACTTCGATCGTGGGCGCTGGCGGCGGCGGTTGGGACGTCGCGTCCCAGCCCTTGTCGCGTTTGGGAGGGCTTTGTGCCTCGGTAGGTTTCCATCTGGGATCGAAACTCACTATAGGCCGACCGGCTCGGTCGCTCACCGCAGTGGGCATGGGGAGCCTGGTGCTGCGATCCCTGAGCTTCTTGCTTGTTGCAGCTCGAAGCTCATCACTGCGGATTTCCAGGCCATCTTTCGTTGGAATCTGCTGCTGAGGTGCCTCAGGTTCAGGCGGCGCTTCTTGGGACCGAGGCTCATTCGTCGTATACTCAGGGTTTCTCGTTTGACTCGGAGGATTCTTATGAATTTCGAAGCGAGAAAGCTTATCAACGAAAGAGAGACTACCAAAGCGACCTGGCAGAGGCCGGGACCCGCGAGGAAGGGCATTCCGGGGTTTACTCTTCAAGGCAGATGAATCCGACCTAGAGAAGATTGAGCGACCCCCCTCATCCTTCCGAGGAGAAAGATGGGGCTCTTCGTAGATCTGGTCGTTCGGATTTCTGAAGATGCCTCTGGATGTCTCGTTCCTGACACTGGCCGAGCCTAACCCATGATTATCGCCTGAGGTCACCGTTGATTCATCCTCTTGAGGAAGTGCGAAGTTGACCTTCATGCTTCTTCGTATGCTCCCTCCCTTGGTCGGGCTTTTCATCGGGCTTGACCCTTCTTCTTCCAAGATGGTTTGCGAATCTCCATCTCCATCGACTGAGGACTTTCTATCACTTCCTCGAAAGCCGTTCGTTCCACTATGGCTAACAGTCGTTCCCTGGAACATCAGTCGACGACTGCCCCTGCGTGCTGTGGGGGAGCTAGGAGCGCCGTTTTGAGAAGTGAAGCTACTCCTTGGAGGGCTTTGTTGGAGATCTTGCAGATCGGGATTCTGGTTAGGTGCATAGGGATTCTTATACGGTATACCTGGATTCTGATGCATCCATACCAGTTCCGTGGCCTCATCTTGGGCAGCAGCGTGGAGGTCATGTTCGTCATGGAGGCCCATTTCCTGCAATGCATCACGCAAGGATCTTGCCTCTTCTTTCTCTATGCGTCGCTGGGGGTTTTCACGATATGTAGGCCTTGCAGGAATCTGTTCCACCCGCGAAAAAACCTGCGCCGGTGATACAGTTTGCCTAATCGGGATAGTTCTCGGTTCCTGGACTAGAGGACGTCCAGTGGGACCTCCCAAAGCAGAGGCTGGTCTATGGTTAGAGAGCGAACTGGTGGCCCGAGGGAATTTTGCCTCTGCGGAGGGAGGGCTAGACTGCATCCTGGGTGGGCCATAAGACGACATCGCCGATGCCGCTCGCGGAGGCAAATCATCATGAGGATGAGTAGGCGCCGTAGTAGGTCTTACGGGAAGCGGCCTGGATCCGCCAGGACGTGTAGGACGATTCGTCCGCAGATCTTTCAAATAGGTCGCTGTAGGTCGAAGATCAGCATGGAAACCTCGATCCGAAGCGGGGACAGCCCGAATCAGCTCGACAAAGGCTGGCTGGGGGAGAGAATGCTTTGGCGCGGCACTGTAAACATACCGATCTGGTCGTCGGACATATAGGTCGGGCCAGGAGGGGAGAACTTGCGTTGGCCCTCCTTGGGCTTCTGAAATTGAGGCCTATGCATCATACTGGCCATGGAGATGTATGGTGTAAAGTCATGAACCGCAGGAAAATATATGGACGGCAGAAGGGGAGGGGTTGAGTGATGAGTTGGCTGCTGCTCAAGGCAGGGAGGGCTATGAAGTCAGTGACTATTATAGCTGAACAGGGCCAATGAGAGGTGGAAAGGTGGCTGGGGCGAGTGGATCAGAGACAAGCTGGAATGAACTAGACAGATCGGATCAGTCTAAGTTGATTTGTTGCTTGTTTCATCTGCGGTGTCAGAGGAACGAGGATTGCTGCAAAGGAGGCTAGTGTGTTTGCATTGACGATCGGAGACTACTCCCTGGTGCGTGGGAATCATTGAATCTCGATTGAGCAGCAGGGGGGGGGGTAAAAGTTAATGATGGGGAGAAGTTGGAAAATGCAGAGCCGGAGATTAGACTGGCACGATAATCCTCAGGCACCACATCTTCAGCTCAGCCGCAGCAGAGCTGAGCTCTGGCCATCGATGATGATGATTGATGATGATGATGATTGCTGATTCCATCACCCATGACAACCAGGTACAATACTTAGGCACTTAGGCACTTAGGCACCAAGGCACCAAGGCACCAAGGCACTCCATCGGGCACAGGGACAAACAGGCCAAACATTTGCCATTTTCCTGAGGCCACCGCGGGGTAGAGATATGCTGAGACGATTCCCAATGCGGTAAGAGCCTCTTGTTGGAGGTGCCCAGCAGCCCAGCATGACACAAACCTTCCGCAATCTTCCGTGTGATAGATAGCATTCAGCAGCACTCAGCAGCACTCAGCAGCACTCAGCAGCCATGCTTCATCATGGCGTACAGCCACACGTGGCTCTCGGGCCCTGTCTCCCGAACATGTCTGCATCACCAACAACCTGGAATGGCGCAATTCTAGAAGTGGACTTGCCTTGATCTGAACCCCGGATTCACATCGTCGCGGTGGAGATGATATGGAGCTGCTGTCATCGGTCATCACCCCCAAAGTCTCTCTTACTGGCGCAACCAACCGACGCTACTCGTTTCCTCCCCGGACTCCGCACCGGGTCAATCGGCATATCAGGACCCCTTTACCCTTCCATAGAGCCCAATAGCTCCTCCTCATGTGTGGGAATGGCTTTTAGGCCAATGATGGGCTCTGTTCGAGTCGGACAAGTCGCCGACCTATGCCCATTAACAGCTCTTGACTGGCTAGATTTGGGCCCAAATCTCGTTGGTAGAAGGATGGATCAATGACACATCGTTCGCTTTAGCCTCTGCCTCTGCTTGACGCTTCCCCTTCATCCTTCGAGATGCACTTGTTCTCCTCCTTTCGGCCGTCTGACTTACTTCTTCATGGCTCATGGCTGGGATTGACACACATCTGGGACAAATCCGCACTGCGCTTCTCATGTCCTGAACCTGATCGAAGTCAACCTAAGACTCGTTTTCTCGGAACTCTATCCGTGCAGGCTGGCTGTGATTAATAATGGCAGATACTGCTCCAATCGACACCATTCATTCACGACAACATGATAGTGATCCAAATCTAGAACCCTCCTCTGATCTGGATAATCCACATCAGTCTGCCCCGCTGGGCACCGAGTCCAAGTACGAGCAAGACGTTCCCCCGGATGGAGGATATGGCTGGGTCTGTGTTGCGTGTGTGTTCTGGATCAATGCCCACACTTGGGGCATCAACAGCGTCAGTAGTGGTCATTCATGTAGGAAATTCCCACAGTTAACCGACCAATACAGAGTTACGGCGTGTTTCTCTCCTACTACCTCTCCCATGATGTGTTTCCCAATACTTCCGCCCTCTCATACGCCTTTACTGGTGGCTTGAGTATATCGTGTGCACTTCTCGTGGCCCCTGTGGCCACGTACCTTATCCATGTTTTCGGCACCCGCTTAACCCTCAACCTGGGTGTTTTCTTTGAGACGCTCTCGCTCATCGGGTCCTCGTTTGCAACTCAACGATGGCACATTTTCCTCAGCCAAGGGGTCTGTTTTGGCTGGGGCATGGGCTTTCTTTTCGTCGGCACTGTCGGTATCATCCCGCAATGGTTCTCACGGCGCCGTAGCCTGGCCATGGGGATCAATGCCGCCGGGTCTGGCCTCGGTGGTCTCATGTACTCGCTCGCTGTCGGCGCCATGATCCCTCGCCTAGGCCTGCCCTGGGCCTTTCGCATCCTCGGCATCACCGCCTGCGTTGTCAACCTGGTGTGCGCCAATCTCCTGCGTGATCGCAACAAGGCCGTGGGCAGCCGACACCAGGCTTTTGCGCTGCCGCTCCTCAAGCGGCCGGAATTCCTGCTGTTTCTCGGCTGGGGCGTCTTCAGCATGCTTGGCTACGTTGCGCTGCTTTTCAGTGTCGCCAACTTCGCCCTTTCTGTGGGCCTGACTTCCCACCAGGGCAGTGTGGTAAGCGCCCTCCTGAACCTCGGCCAGGGCCTCGGCCGCCCCTTCGTTGGCATGTTCAGCGACCGCCTCGGCCGCATCAACATCGCCACCTTCCTCACATTCCTGTGCGGTCTTTTCTGTCTTGTCATCTGGACGTTTGCGCGCAGTATGGGCGTCGTATGCTTCTTTGCCGTGCTGGTCGGCACCGTCTCTGGCACCTACTGGGCTACCGTCGCCCCCGTCGCGAGCGAGATCATCGGGCTCCGGGATCTGCCCAGCGGACTGAGCATCACTTGGTTGGTATTAGTACCCCCTTGCACCGTGTCAGAAGCCATCGCTCTGCTGTTGCGCAACAATCACGCTGGAGACGCGGCGTATCTGCGCGTGCAGATCTTCACCGGGTTCATGTACATAGGCGCGGCTCTGTGTCTTTGGCTAGTCCGGGCGTGGAAGATTAGAGAAATAGCGCAAATAGCCACCGAGAAATCGCTGAATGATTCGTCTCAGACCGGGGTGAAGGATGCCCCGGAGCAGTCGAAGATCGAAACCGGTGCGACGGAGATGGACCGCCAGGTAACATTTCAAAGAATGTCAAAGTCGCACCTTTGGTCTCCGATCAGCTTGTTACGTGAGATGGTGTCGTTACAGAGAGTATAGTATGGAAATACAGTACAGAGTAGGGGAAAGGGGAAGAGTTGGGAGGTTGGATGAAGATGTACAGGATCGATCGTAAGATCTCGGATGTCATTACACAGAATAGAAATTTAGATTGAACACAACTTAAATCTAGTACAGTCATCCTACGTGCGAGACACCGGTAGACGCCCAAATCCTGTTATATTATGCCAGTCATAGATCGATCGATGATTTCACTTTTTTCCCCTTTGCTGTATTTTACGCAAAGTATGTTCAAACGCCTTGGCCCAGGATCAAGATGCGGACTCTCCGCTTTCCGGCGCCACGGCCGCCTTCCTCCTTGACGGAGCTGACGTTGACATTGACCTTCTGGAAGAGCTCGACGGAGACGCCTTGCGCCTGGTCGGCGTCCCCCTTGTCCGAGACGCGGAGGGTATACTCCTCGCTGTCGAAGTCGCTCTGGCGGCGGACGACGAGCTCGCGGCGCTCGGCGACGGTGCGCAGGGCGGCGTCCTTGGGGAGGACAAAGTCCTCGAGGCGGACGACGCCCTCGATGCCGAAGCGGGGCACGAAGACGACGACGCCGTTCTCGAAGACGCGCATGACGTAGCCCTCCTCCTCGATGCCGCCGTCCACGCCGTCGGCGGCCATCTTCTCGCCGCGGGCCTTGAGCGCCTGGCCGACGTAGTACTCGATGCTGGCGCGGCCGGCGAACTGGGCGTTGCGGTGGCGGTAGTTGATGTTGCGGCAGATGTCCTCGAGGCGGTTGCGGGTCATGACGCCCTCGACGACGGCGCGGCCGTCCTCGCCCTCGTAGCCGATGGCGGACGCCAGCTGGCGGTGGACCAGCAGGTCGGCGTACCGGCGGATCGGCGAGGTGAAGTGCGTGTAGATCGGCGAGGCCAGGCCGTAGTGCCGGAACTCGGACTCGGCGTGCGCGCCCGCGACGAAGTACTCGGCCGAGGTCATGCAGCGCGTGGCCAGGATGCGGACCAGGGTGTTGAAGAAGGGGTTCTGCGCGTCGACGCAGCGGTCGAGCGAGTCGGCCAGCGCCCGCGAGCTGGACACGTCGAGCCGCAGGTCGCGCTTCTTTGTGAGCTGGTTGATGAGCTCCTCGAAGTTCTGCGGGGGCGGAGTCGCGTGGCGGCGGAGCATGGCCGTCTGCGAGAAGGTGCTGTAGATCTTGGTGGCGACGGTGATGTTGGCGTGAAGCATGAACTCCTCGACCAGGCTGTTCGTCTCGAGCATCGCCTTGGTCTTGACGTCGGCTAGCGGATCGCCCACCTCGTCGTTGTCCGCCTCGATCCGGACTTCGGGCGAGGCCAGGTTCAGCGCACCGGCGTCCATGCGCTTCTGGCGGAGGATCTTGGAGAAGCGCAGCAGGGTGCGCATGCTCTCGGTGAGTTCGTCGGTTTGCTTCGGGTCGTCGATCCGCTTCTGCGCCTTCTCGTAGCTGAAGGCCTCGCGGGACCTGATCACCGACTTTGTGAAATCCGCGGACACGACCTCCGCGTTGGGGGTCATTTCCCACAGGACGGAGAAGGCGTAACGCTCCACGTAAGGTTTCAGGGAGCAGAGATCGGTACCGAGCAAGTGCGGTAACATGTCAATACGCTTGTCGACAAGATACACTGTGGTTCCACGCTGCGATGCCTCGAGGTCCATCGCGTTGTTGGGCTTGACGAAATGTGAGACATCGGCGATGTGAACACCGACTTCGAAGTTGCCATTCGGCAATGGTCGTGCGTGCAGAGCGTCATCGATATCCTGACAGCCTGGGGGGTCGATACTGCAGATAAGAAGGTCTCGAAGATCCCTCCGCCCCTTCCAGCCAATGTCGTCTTTGCTCGCGGGCACTCTCCAGTCATGGCCCTCTGCAGGGAGGCAGTCGAGGACAGCCTTCGGGAAGGGCTTGTACTGAACGTCATACTCAAGCAACAGCGCCTCTGTCTCAGCTCCCTTGGTTTCGAGTTCTCCCAGTGACCGGATGAAGTGTCCGGTGGGGTATCGTGAATCGCGGTCCCAAGCGTCAATAGTGACCAAGATGCGTTGGCCCATGAGATCAGCAGCTTGTCTAGTGCGTAGTCTGATCTTCGGCACACGCTTATCCATGGGCAGAACGAAGACATTTTGCTGTCGTCGACTCGAGCTGGTCTGAGAGCCTGCTGAGCCCGAATCAACATGGCCAACATATTGCCGCCAGTTCCGCTTCATCACACCAACAACCTTGGCCGTTGGCTGCGGTCTGCCCTCCGAGTTCTTTCCATGGGCTTTCTTGACTTCCTCCTGCAACGCTTTCCGTTCTCTTTCAGTGACAACCGCCTCGTTGTCCTCAGCATCTGGGTTATCATTCTTGGTCACGGCCTCTTCATCCACAAGCTTGGTAGATGGTGTCTTCCACTGGTCCTTAGGCAGCACTTCGATCACGACGACATCTCCAGAGATGGCTCGGTTGCTGTTGTCGCGGCCAAGGATCAGTAGAGGCTTGTCAAAGGCTGGGACGTTAACCGAGCCCTCCAAGTAGTTGTACGGCGAAACGTTGAAAACACCCTGGTGCAACGTCCCCGCCCTCAGGCCCGTCTGGAGTTTCGACATGGTGTAATATTCGGGGTAGAAGAGCTCGCCGCGTGCGCCCTTGGCTTCTCTCGCCTCTCTCGACTCGTTGATCATGTCCAGTAACCTGTCGGAATCCTCCAGACCCGAGACATAATCGGTCAGTGACAGCGCGGTGATGTTTTCTTCCTTCGACTTCCGCAAGTTCTCCTTGTCGTCTGTGATGACCACGATCGCCGGGATCGAACGCTCCTTCTTGGCCTTCTTGGCCGTCGACAGCAAATGTCCCATGTACCACTTCGCCACGGCTCTAACGGCTCGGTCATTTCGGTCGTTGATCGACTCGTCGGGGCCACGTCGAACATGGGTCTCTAGGCGGAACTCGTTGAAGAACAGATAGAAGCGCTTCTCGTCGGTTTTGATCAGCGAAAGCAAACGGTTGTAGAGGGGGAGGGACTGGTTCCGCAGCTCCTCGAGGACGGTCTGTAAAATGATCACATCGTAAAAGGCTCCGGTGTGTTCAAAAAGGTCCATTCCATTCAGCAGCGCATTCGTATCAGGAACCAGGTAATGGCCGCGAGGGAAAGCTTTGGTGCCCGCGGGTTGCTCGGAGAGGACGAACGGCGTAACTAAGATAATTCGTCGCATTAGCCAGTTCCCACCGTCATTCAGGGCCATAGGTCTCTTGCTCACTGTTTCCATTCGCATCCGCAGGCGCAACGGACGGACACACCGAGCAAAGCTTCGACGAGCATGGGATATCCTGTCTTAGATAGAGCTCGCGAACGATCTTTTGCACCTTCCCACTTTTCGTGGACCGGACGAAGATTTTGCTGGTGACATTTTGAGCCTGCGGGTTCGAGGAGAGATCTCTTCGTAAGCTCTTCATTCTGTCTGGGTCGCAACCGCGCTTGTGATCAGCGCTGTGTATCGAAGCGACAGAAATGTTAGCAGATGGTTGGTTGGTGGTTGCTGTCGGCGGAGGTTCGCCCAGTTCTGCGGATTTGAAGCGGGATGGCAATGTCGGCGCCCGAATTGGGAAAGTCTGCCGACGTAATTGCGGGCAGCACTGCATCTGCATCTACTAAGCGATGCCGTGATAAGAAGACATATTCCATCGTTGTCCCACTCCACGTATATTGTTGTCTGTATTCGTGTGCGAATTACTCAGATTTAAGTTGATCGGTCAAGATGGTTCTTGCAGTAGGCGCTTACCTGACCTTCATCATATTCTCTATCGCATCAAATCACTGATACATGTGCCTTGATGCTATAGGCTGTTGGTCAACTATGCTCGACTGCGAGTCTGGCAGCCAATCTGGCACAATGCCAAACGCTGGTTCGCAAAGCAGCTGCAGCTGGTGCAAAAGTAAGATTACCGAGGATACGTTCTGATGCTTCTTGTTAATATAAGCTATACCAGGCATTGTTTCTCCCCGAAGCCTCAGATTACATTGGTTCCTCGCCTGCTGAGACGATATCTCTTGCGCGCTCCGTGCAGGATAGTGAATTCGTCCTAGGTCTACAGAAAGAGGCTCGACTAGCTAAACTTCATATTAATGTTGGAATTCATGAGCCGGCATCTAATAATAGGACGAAGAACACTCTCATCTGGATTGATGACAAGGGTTCCATAATACAGCGCTACCAAAAGGTTCACCTGTTCGACGTCGACATCAAAGGCGGCCCGGTGCTGAAAGAAAGCGCGTGAGTCAGTCCTACAGTTGCTGCTAGCTGAACCCAACTTACTGATCTTGACGTACAGGAGTGTTGAGAAGGGCATGGAGATCTTGCCGCCTTTCGAAACGCCCATTGGGCGCGTGGGCTTATCTATCTGCTTTGACGTGGGTTATATCCCATGACCTCCAACTTGTATTCATATCGGCTGACACATTTTACAGTTGCGCTTCCCCGAGCTCAGTCTTGCACTCAGGCGACAAGATGCCCAGATCATCGCCTACCCATCCGCCTTTACAGTCCCCACTGGTAGAGCGCACTGGGAGACACTTCTGCGAGCTAGAGCCATCGAAACACAGTCATATGTGATAGCAGCTGCACAGGCAGGACCACACAACGAGAAGCGCATCAGCTACGGCCACTCGTTGATTGTGAATCCTTGGGGTGAGGTGGTAGCGAGTCTCGGAGATGAGTATGAGGAACCGCAAATCGCTGTTGCTGACATCGACTTGGAGCTTCTTGCCAAGGTGCGGAGGGAAATGCCCTTACTCAGACGTACAGATATATATCCGCAGGTATAGCCCTCGATAGCAACCTCGTACAGAGGGATGGCCTCAAATCCAGTTGTCTACCCATCGTTGAAAGCATGGTGCACGCCGGAAAGATCTCCTTACCATTCGTAGAAGGTATTATAATGACTGCATGGGTTGATTGTGATCAAAGAGTCTTGATTTATTTTCTCTTCCGCTCCTAAGTTCATAAAGCGAGCCAATGAAAGGATATAAGACGACAAGACACGCAGGTAACAGGAAAGAAAGGAAAGAAAAGCGAACAGTGAAATGGAGAACCCTGTCTAGGATCGGACCGGTATGTGCCTGATAACACGTGTAACCATTCGATCAACAACCGTCTTCCAC